GCTGTCAACTTGGGTTCGATTCCCAGCATCCGATATGGTCCCCTGAGAACCACCAGGAGTAATTTCTGAGCGCAAAGCCTGGAGTAAACCTTGTGCAGCATGGAGTGTGACCCAAAAGCCTTTCTTTCTCTAAGTTGAAAACTTCATTTGTCCTGTTTTGTAATTTTTTGAAAACTATGGGAACAATCTCTTGTGAATAGAGAAAGTAGCTTGAAAGTGGCCTTTCTGCAGGGCAAAGCACAAAGGAGGCATTCACCCAATAGTTGCCAAAATGAATTATTAAACTGCGTTCTCCACAGATACATCTATGCAAAGAGTTAAAAGCTCTAGGTACGCGCTTCACTGGCAGGCAGAAACAGTTTGTCTTATTATTAAACAACGACTTCTGACAGTTCCAAACTTTCCCAGAGTGGATTCGGCGGTCAGAGCCGGTGATTCAAAAGCCTGTGACTCAGATTGGCTTTAAAACCCTACACTACACGGGGACACAGTCTTCATTTGAGTTTACTTTAATCTGTTCTGTGTCTTGTTGCCTTCTTTGGAAAGTAATTAAATATGACTCCTCCAGCCTTTACTCTTCCCCACAGATGAAATACCTCTCCCAGATATAATAGTCCTGGGTTCTTGTAAAACTTCATTAGCAGTTCAGCACAGATTTTTGAGTTTGTGGGTTTGGAGTCAGCTGCTGTTGTATCAGATCAGATCCCGGTTTCCACCTGCCACCTGCCATTTCACTTCTATGCTTTAGATTCCAAATATCAGAATGAAAAACAAGCAGTATGGGCCAGAAATTTTAAAGTTTAAGGCATTTTCCCTACATGCAGCTGATCTGGGTTCAATTCCTAGCATTATGTATGATCTTCTGAGCACTGCTAGAAGTGGTGACTTAGCACAGAATCCAGAGTAAGCCTTGAGCACCATGAGGTGTGACCCCCAAACAAAAGCAAAAGAACCAAATAATGTACATGAAATAGGCATCTAAATTTCTTTATTTTTTCTGGGGGCAGTGGAATCCATACTCAGCGGTGCACAGAGCTTATTCCTAATGAAGCTTTGTGATTTTACTGGCTGCAAAACTCAAAATAACCCTAATAGTCTCTGCCATGTGGAAATACATGGTGCTGTGGACCAATCCTTGGTCAGCTGCATACAAGGCATTGTAGGACTGAAATCCAGTCATGAACAACTTTGGAACTGTGCATCTCACTGTGATTCAATTAAAAACTAAGTTAATTAAAAAAAAAAGGGCAAGTACCCTACTTGTACTGTGTCTCTACTCCGTAAGAATCTCTAAGCACCTTAAAACATACCTCACCATAAGTGAGTTATTATTATTATGGCTAAGAATATTTTTCATTTCTGTTGTTTGGTGTGGCCCATGTGTCAAGGATGGTTTTGCACTGTCGGTGGTTGCAAAACTCAAAATAAACATAATATTTCATGACATGTGGAAATTAAATTCAAATTTTAGTGTCTACAAATAAAGTTTTTTTGTTATAGTTGTCATTCCAATTGGCTCATTTCTGTGTTTGAACACATGAATGTCTCCAGCTATGTTTTTCTCTGGCTGATTTCATATTATAGCAGCAGGGTTGTGTTTTGATAGAGACCACCTGGCCAGTTAATTTTGTGAAGTCCCTGGATCTGTAACCAAAGGAATACTGTGATCTTACTTATTACATACAGAGCAGTAAGTCACCATGCTGAGGAGTGTTATTCTCCTGGACTGGTACTTGCTCTTTGGCATAAGCTGGTTCTTTTCCTCTATACATGGGATATTCCTCGGTTGTATTTTCAGGGAGATGTAGCAATGTGTTGAGAGTGGATGTGAGTTTTATATGTGTGTGTTTGAACCACAATTTGGGATTTGAATGAGCCTAAGTAGTAGTAGATGATGAAGGTCATTTCTGGCCTTTACTTTTTCCGATGGGTTAGGAAGTTTCTAATGTGCAACAAACTTCTCTTTGCTCTGCCCTCTGAAGTACTGCCCATGCTCTTGCATTGCATTGTGCACTTCAGTTCATTATTGAGTGGCACAGAGATTATCTGTGTGTGGTGAAGGAATAGTTACTTTCTATAATCACCTAATCTGTAATACAAACTAAAAAAATAAATCCATCCACCTTTAAAAAAAAAGCAAGCCCAAACAAAACAACCAAAGAACGGCAGAATGCAAGAAAAACAATTTTGTTATATTTTATATATTTTTGATAGTTATTGTTCTTTTTTTTTTACCAGCCACACCTGGCAGGAATAAGTTCAAGGCTTATTATTCCTGGCTCTGTTGTGTGCCCAAGGATCACTCCTATCGATGCTCAGGGGATCATGTGTGGTACCAGGGATCTAACACAAGTTAGACCCCTGGTACCGTAACCTAGATACTATCTCTTCAGCCCTAAGCGTTTTAGTTTCAGATATGAAAGATTCAGTTTATTCTAAACTGATTCTACAGTGAATGCTTTTCCAGTTTTTCCACCTGGTATGTAGTATATGAGCTTTTTCTAGTTTTGATTCCTGTTTGTGTGGTTCTGGGATTTGAATTCAGAAACTCAGAGTTGTGAGGCATATGCTTTACCTTTGAGCTGCATCCTTGGCTCGATGGTGTGAACTACAAACAGTCACATATTAAAAACTGTTAGTGTTGCACACTATTTACAATTATTTGACTATGAATTATACTTATTTAAAAATTAAGGGGAAAAGGAAGAGCAAAATTTAGGAAATTTCAGAGTGATTTCTTTCTCCCTTTATTTGAAGGTTAAAGCAAAATTTTGCTTTATATGATTAATATGAGTTTGTTTCTTAAAATTAGAAGTGAGGTGGTAAATTGTTATAAAATATCTTAAATTTTCCCCACTAAAGCCTTTTTAAATTTTGTGTAGTTTCATTTATTTATTTTTGTTTTTTTCTGTCTTTGACAAAGAAGAAAATATGTTCACTGTCATTTATTGTCAGGGAGATGCAAATAAAAACACCAGTGAGATGCTATCTTATACAAGTGAGACTAGCACATATGTAAAAACAGCAGTGACCAGTGTTGGCAGGGATGTGGTAAAACAGAATGTTGTCTGTTTCAGTCTCTATGGAAAACAGTATGGAGATTCCTCAAAAATAGTGAGAATGGAACTCCCGTATGACTCAGTGATTTTTCTTCTTGGCATCTGTCTTCCAAATCTAGAACATAAATTGGAAAAGATATATGTCCACCTATGTTTATTGTGCTAATCTCATAGCCATAATATGAAAGAACCCAAATGCCTGACAGCCGATGAATGGACAATGAGTTGTGATTTATGTGTGCATGCAAGCATGCGCGCAACGCGCACACACGTACACACGCACACGTACACACATACTCACTCATAGTATGGAATACTATGCCACTGTAAGAAGATATGAAATCTTGCAGTTCACTACATTATAGATGGAACCGAAACTGTTTAGCACAATAAGTTTTAGTGAGAAGGACAAATACTGGATGATCTCATTTGTCTGAGGTATAAAAGGAGATAAAATAAGAGAAACGACAGTGTTGAATGATGACAAATTCTTGACTTGGAATGACAAAACTGACTACCAAGTAGGGGTGAGAGTGAGGAGAAAAATGAAGATTGGACCAGGGGTCAAATAGGGACTGTAGTGGGGGTCTGGGATACTTTGATGGTGGTGGGGTGCAATAACTTTGTAATCAACACCATGAACATTAACGCTGTTGTCACTGTGTTGCCTAAACTCTAATAAATAATGAATTATAAAATGTTTCTGACATGAACTAGGACTGTTAATCTCTATGGAGATTTTAAAAGACAATCACTTAGTAGGATATAATGATACTTATGCCATTTAATATATTGTGCTCTCTATATATTCTGGACAGTGGTAGATAGATAATTCAATGATTTTAAGCTTTGTAGTAATACACAATTTAGAAAGAGGTTAAGAAGCTGAGTTAGACTTACAAGTCAAACAGGGCTCAAATGAGAGCTTCCCAATTATCTGTGTGACAAATCAGTTATAAACAACCAGCATATCACAGACAGACAGGAAATGTTGTGTCTATTTGGGGGGGTGAGGGGCTCCTCTGGTATCAGACACTGGGTTACGTGAATCAGTAGAAATTGCTGCTGTTTTGCAATCAGGAATGAGAATTTAGGAATTTTATAAACATTATCATTCAACATACTTAAGTGACACTAGACTTTGACCCAGAGCCAAAAGTGTCTCAACATTCAGAAATTAATAGCTGTAAAGATAGATTTGGCCCTGAGAGCTGAAATGGATGATGGAGTCACCTCTCATAATGGAAATGCTGCGAGACACCATCAAAAGGTGCATGTGAAGAAGTACAGTGAGGGGTAAAGGTCTGTGTACTTGTCATCTGCCTCTTCACCCATGTGTCATATATACAATTTAATTTGAGTTTTTGGGCTCTCCCAAGGGTTACTCTGGGGGTCCAAGGCCCCACTCATGGTTCTTGGGCAATTTCTGCTGGAGCAAGGGCTTGAGGATGCAGAGTTGATGGGCCCTTTGGTTCTGGGCGTCTCTAGGGCCACACGATGGTGATCAGGGGTCCCAGAGCTGCACCCAGCAATACTTGAGAGTATTGTGGAGTATTCCAGCAAGTGGAGCTGGAAATTAAACCCACATTGGGTACATGCCAGGGTACATGTGCCCTAACTGCCGTAACTATCTCTCAGTGCCGTGCATTTATATTTTTATTGCATCTCTTTATCATTTCTTCTCAGGACTATATGCCATAGCCTGGGCATATTTATGGACACTAATCACAGCTCTATTTGCTCGCTTAGAAATAATGTGATTTAAATGGTCATGCTTCAGACATTTCTTAGGAGATGTGAAGGTTCTCTGTTCTCAGACTTGAAAAAGTCTGCTAATCTCGCCGAATGGTTAATTAAAAAGCCGAAGCCCTTCACTGATGTGCTCTGCCTGTGCGGAATGCCGGCTGCTGTGCTCACTCTGACTTCCTTTTCCTCCTGTAGAGCGGAAAGCCACCCATCCATGACATGTTCACAGACCTCAAAGATGGAAGGAAACTACTGGATCTGCTCGAAGGCCTTACAGGAACATCCCTGGTGAGTAGCATCACCCCTTCAACCAGGCTTCCCACTCCCCTTGCATCCTCACTGATGCTTGAACCCCCTCTGGGTTACTTACAGTGTAAAGACTGGAGGTAGGCACGTTTACTGCTGAGAAATGTGGTGCCTCTTAAATATTAGACAGCTTTTACTTCTTAATTTTGTTGTAAGTGGTTTTATCCAAAGAGTTTCAGTAAAATATTTTAAGGCAAAAACCAAATAAACAAGCAAAAAAAAAAACCCCAACAAAACCAACACCTGTCTTTAGGACAGTGACAGTGACAACACAGTGGAGAATTAAAAAAGTGGCCATGTGGGGCTGGAGCAATAGTACAGTGGGGAGGGCGTTTGCCTTGCTCTGTGGTCAACCCAGGTTCAATCCCTGGCATCCCATATGGTCGCCTGAGCACTGTCAGGAGTAATTACTGGGTGCAGAACCAGGAGTAGCCTGTGAGCATTGCTAGGTATGACCCAAAAAGAAAAAAAAATAGAATGGTTATGTAAATTGGAATTATTTATATAACATATATAACATATGCATAACATATTATATATAGGGGATTCTTGTAGAGTGCTCAGGAGGCCCAGGGATGCCACTGGTGGTCCTTGGTCAAGCAGGCTGGTAGTTTAGTGCAGGGGCCTGTGATATGCTGCTGCTCAGCCCTGCAGTGCCGGGGATACCCAGGCGACTGGGACCTCCAAAACCACACCTGGATGTCCAAGGCTGTTTCCATGATGCTTGGGGGACCAGGTGATACTGGGAACAGAATCTGGGTCACGCATCAAACCAGTGTACTATCTTCCATCCCCAGAGGAAAAATATATACCTTGCAACTAGGGAGCATAGATGCATCCATTTAAATTCTATTTAATAATTCTTTTTGTGTATGTGTTTGGGTTTTGGGGGTCACACACACCTTACTAAATTCAGGTCTTACTCCTGGTTCTCCGCTCAAGGATCACTCCTTGCAAAGCTTGGGCATTCGAATGTAGTGTCAGGGATTGAACCTGGGTTGGCTGTGTACCAGGCAGGTATTTTTACCAGCTGTCTCTCCACCCCCTACTTAAGAACTGGTTTTTGAAAATTGTTACAATTTTGGAGCTGGAGCAATAGTACAGCGGGTAGGGCGTTTGCCTTGCACGTAGCTGACCTGGGTTCGATTCCCAGCATCCCATATGGTCCCCCAAGCACTGCCAGGAGTGATTCTTGAGTGCAGAGCCAGGAGTAACCCCTGAGCTTTGGCTGGGTGTGACCCAGAAAGCAAAAACAAAATTGTTAGAATTTTGACTTTACTCCCCAGATATTGAGTATAATCTGTGGGCTGTTTCCCTTCATCAAAATTGTGCTCTCTCACTTTGTGTGAAAGATGTTCAATCTATGCTCACACGCTGATCTTTGTGTTCATGAAGGCTCAAACACACTTTAGCATGAGGTAGAATCGTTCTAGCAGGCACAGTGAGACACACTCCTGCAGATTAATTATTTTCATGCCAAATGCAGGATGTCATGCGCTTCCTTTTGCCCTCCAGGTGGTGGGTGGGTGGGAACTTGTTAGAAAAACTGATCCTTCTCTGAGATAAGATTCTCTGGCCAGTGAGGCAGAAGGAAGCCACCCAGGTCAGCTTTCCCCAGGCGGCAATTCCTGCCATTCCCGTGGACTCTGGGTTAGCACTTGACAGTCCTCTGTTGTGTCCATATGTGATGTCAAGAGTTCTCCATCCCCCTGTATCCAGACTCATTTAGATCAAAGAGACTTTGTCCTTGGGGGCATTGGCATCCTAACTTGTTTACGCATGAGAATCATCAAGAAAAGTCTTTACAAAATTCCAGCCCCAGGGAGGCTGGAGAGATGTTGCTGGGAGTTAAGGCAGTTGTCTTGCATGCGGCCAGCCTAGGTCCCATCTCGAGCACCATGGGGTCCCCAGAGCACATCATGAGTGACCCCCGAGCATTGCTGAGTGTGACTCAGCCCTTGCAGCCCATTCTAAACCCAACCTGTTCTCAGTCATCAGCTCAGAGTTCTTATTTACTTATTTTTATTGTTTGTTATTTATTGTTTATTACTTATTTTTCATGGAGGGGGGCTTGTGAGTTGGGCCATACTTGACTGGGGGCTCAAGGGACCATATTTAGTGGTAAGGTTCAAACTGGAGTTGGCTGCGTACAGGGCAAGAGCTGTAACTTCCGTACTATCTCTCCTTCTCGAGTCAACAGAATTTTAGGGTGGAAGCAGACACAGGCTTTGGTACTTTTCCAAGCTCTCTAGGAGATGCCAATGTAAAAGGAAAGTCGGGAATCATTATCTTCAGATGCTGTTAGTGGGGGTATTTGCATAATGTCAACATTAGCCTCCAAGACGGCCGGAGAAGTTGGCCAGAGCTCCTGGCACAGAGCGGTCCTGTTCACTGAGCTGCTGTTGCTGTCATCAGGGAGCCTTGGCTGCCAGCACGGAGGGACTGTGTCTCATGCGATGTTGCATTTTGTTTTCTAGCCAAAGGAACGCGGGTCCACACGGGTCCACGCTTTGAATAATGTCAACAGAGTACTCCAGGTCTTACATCAGAATAATGTAAGTTTGGAGTGTGATTTCTGCTGTTGTTGTTGTTGTTTTTGTGACCATCAGGATTATTTATTGTGGATCCAGTCACTGCTCTCTGCAGTGTCATCATGTGATTTGGAAAAAAAAATTTTTTTTCTTCTTCTGGGAAGCCCTTTTCTAGGGGCAGGGGAATAATCATGCTTCTTCTAGTGAATGGTTTAACCTGTAATGTTTACGCTGCACTGGAAACAGTGACGTTTTGAGATGGTGCTTGACTTGATTTGTTCAAATGCAGTTTCTCTTATCATTCTATTATAATGCTGAACCAAATAAATTCAGATGTGTTTCTGTGGAGAAATTGTCTCAGAGTTCATTTTCCTTTTCGCTAGGTGGATTTAGTGAACATCGGCGGGACAGACATCGTCGATGGAAATCACAAACTGACTTTGGGGTTACTTTGGAGCATCATTTTGCACTGGCAGGTGAGGCTCGTCTCCGTCAGGTCTTCGAAATGGGAAATGAACATCATGGATGCCTCTGTTTCTTAGGACGGCCATCCCAGTTTCCCACAAGCTGTGAGGCTTCAGCTACAGAAATTAATTCACAGTTTCAGAGGCTGTGACGTCAGAGGATTGGCTTCCTCTGAGGTCTGTCTCCCTGGTTTCTGGATGGGCATCCTCTGCCTGAGACCACATGGTCCTGCCTAGGTGGTCGTCTGTGCCTTGAGATTCCTTCTTTTTTTCCCTTTTATTTTTAGGTCATACCTGGTGATGCTCAGGGCTTACTCCTGACTCTGCACTCAGGAAGTACTCCTGGCATGCTCGGGGGATCATCTGGGATGCCAGGGATTGAAGCTGGGTTGGTCACATGCAAGGCAAATGCCCTACTCACTGTACTGTCGCTCTGGTTCCCACCTACTTTACTTTTTTTAGCACCTCTGACTCCAAGGTATTTTCTCCCAGGATCTCTTACAAACTCTCAAAAACACTTGCCAATCCACTAATACTGTTTTCATCGATCCCCCAGGTCTTGATGTTTGCCAGGGATGAGAGAATTCCCTTACAGTCCTCAGGCGTCTGAGGGCTGCTGCAGGAATGCTTGCCAGTGGGGCAGGCAATTCAGTGCAATAAGCTGAACCGGACCCTGTAGTTCTGGGGACAACCAGGGTCATGCCAACGTTACTCAGGAACCACCAGGGCTACATTCAGTGGCGTTCAGGGCGCCTTATGGTGCCAGGATTTGAACCAGTCCTGCTGCCGTCAGAGCTGAGCTATTTCCCTTTGCTTGCCTCTTTAGACGGCCTGTCTTCAAATACATTCACTTAATTTTTGTTTTTATTTTATTTTTATTTTGGCTTTTTGGGGCCACATCTGGCGATGCACAGGGGTTACTCCTGGCTCTGCACTCAGGAATTACTCCTGGCAGTGCTCAGGGGACCATATGGGATGCTGGGATTTGAACCCGGGTTGACTGCGTGCAAGGCAAACACCCAACCTGCTGTGCTATTGCTCCCGCTCCAAATACACTCACTTTAAATGGTGGAGGGAGGGTAGAACTTCAGCATAGAGTCTTAGGGTATTGCATATTTCAGCTATTAACAACTTGGAATTGGAGAAACTGCCAGTTCTTAAAAATATTGTATTAAAAATTGACATATGGGGCCAGGACATAGCATAGCGGGCAGGTGGCTGTGTTGCTTGCAGCCTTTCTTTTTGCCTGAATATTGGTGTGTGTATGTTCTAAAGAGAAATTAATTAACAGGGAATCTCTTAAAAAAACTCTAATAATAATTTTAATGCTAGTGTGCTAGTTATTAAAATTATTATTAATTTTACACTACACTAGCACGCGACAGGGACAAATGGAGACATTACTGGCGCCCGCTCGAGCAAATCGACGATTAACGGGAAGTCAAGTGATCAAGTGATCAATAATTTTAATATATAAAATATAGTTTGAGTACTGGTACTAATAATTAAAATACAATATGATAATTATATGCTGACAAACCATGAAAATAAGACATATAAGTGTTGAAACCATCAAAACTATGCAGTTCAGGAATCTCTAGGCATTTGGGGAGATTTTATCAGTTGCCCCAATTATATATTGTGCAGACAAAGGAAATACTAGATCATGTACCTACTTGTCAATGTCTCTTTAGTTTTCTTTATATGCAATTAGGTTTTTCTTTGTAACTTATAATATCGACATTAAAAAAATTAAATGTCAGTTATTTTGTAGAATTTTTGGTGTTGTTGTTGATGTTAGGGCCACAATGCAATGCTCAGGGCTTATTCTTTTCTCTGTACTCGGAGATCACTCTGGTAGTGCTCAGGGGACCATATGGGATCCTAGGATAGAACCCGGGTCAAATGTGTGCAAGGCCAAGTGCCTTTCCTGCTATATTTTCTCTCTGGCCCCTAGAATATCTTTCCATGTGAACTTTGGCTGGTGATTCTTCATAATTAGATTCAAGGCATTCATTTTGGCAGGAAAACCACAAAACCCATGCTGAGTTCTTGAAGAACTGTATCAGGAGCCATGTGCTATGCATTAAGATTTTCTTGGCATCTCTGGTGGAGGGATTGGTGTTGAAATATTATAAGCCTAAAACTCATCTATCAACGACTTTGTAAATCACAGTCCTTTAATAAAAAATAAAAAGTTTTTGGCAGCATTAACTTTAGTGTGGATAGATACACAGTACTACACAGTAGTGAGACTACCCTTTGTTACTAAAATGTATCTTATGAAGATGTACTTTGAGATAGTGTAATATTGTTAATATACCAACATTTTTTTCTATTTATTCATAGTCTTCCCTGATCGGTTATTTTATGCTTGCTATTCTTACTTTATTATTTTACATATATTAATTAGTTGTTTTTTATTTAATATTCATAAATTTTAAACTTATTTTTGCATTAGAAATTGATGTATGGGGCCAGAAATAGTTTAATGGGTCAATGCTTGCTTTGCCTGCTGCTGACCTAGGTTCGATCCCTGGCATCTCATAGGATCACCCCAGGACTGCCAGCAGTGACCGTTGAGTACAGAGCCAGGAGTAAGCCCTGAGCTCTGCCAGGTCTGGTCCTAAAAAGAAATAAATTAAAATGGACATAAGACACATAAAAATGCAAATAATAAGCAATTCTTGAATCTTGAGCTCAGATCCTACAAATTTTAACAGTTGTGTATGTTCCTCCTTCTTTCCTTCTTTTTGCTTGAATATTTTATGTTCCTAGGCTATAATCTTACCTTATTGTTATTTATTTTAATGCTCAGATTGTCTTTGATTTGTATAAGGATCCTCTGTTTATATGTTTATATGGAGAAGAGGATTTGAGTGCATTCCAAGGATCAAGATCAGGGGTTTAGGCATGCAAAGAATGAGCTCTACTCCTCACCCTCCTGCCTAGCCTTCTGTGTCCTTTTGTTGTTAATAATTCTTGATCATTTTTTGAATGTTCTTTACGGACCAGAATGCTGGTTGTGTCCCACAAATTTGAAAAGAAAAAAAAATACGTTTTTAGAGTAATAGTATATAAAATGGTAGATTGCAGTTTTAGATTACAGTTTTCTATATTAAAATTTTTGTTACCTACAAAAACCTACTTATTCTTTGATCTTGTAATTAGGACTTTCCCCTCATATTCGTAGAAGATAAATATAAAGTTTTTTTCCCACTACAGTTAAGTCTTTGTAAATACATGGTGCTACCTCTTTTTTTTTTGTGACTATGAAAGTAACAATGTCATGTTCATTGTGATCAAACCTTGTATGAGTGTTGCTTAAGATATGAAAAAATACTATAATATAGAAAGATGAGATAAAAATTACCTCTCAATCATAATACCCCCAAATCACAACTGTTAAAAATTCATGTTTTCCAAGTGTTTAAAATAAACACTTGACATAAAATAAAAACCAGAAACCTGAAGTGTAAGAGGTAATTAGTGGCTTTTTTTTTTTTTTTTTTGGTATCTAAGCATTCAATTCCAGGTACTATTTGTAGTTAAGGGCCAGTATGGTTTCTCTTGCACAGGTGAAAGATGTAATGAAGGATATCATGTCAGACCTGCAGCAGACAAACAGCGAGAAGATTCTGCTGAGTTGGGTGCGCCAGTCTACCAGGCCGTACAGTGAGGTCAACGTTCTCAACTTCACTACCAGCTGGACAGATGGACTCGCCTTTAATGCATTGCTTCATAGACATAAGTGAGACATGTTTCTGCGAGATATGGGTCTTACCAGTTTGTGTATTTTCTTTATCCTTCCCTTTCTACTTGTCCCTAAAGACCCTTCCCAGCTACCACTACTCTCCTCTCAGCATATACTTAACCAAAACCTTAAGGATTATCACAGAAGAAAACTACCCACCTGATCTTTAGTTCCAAAACTACTTAAGTGCTACAGTAAAAATTTTTTTAACAACTCTGTAAAATGGTTCAAATAATTCAGTCCCACTCACACAGCACTCATCAGTAATGTCCACAAGTAGACTGCTATATACGATGTTTTCGATAGCACAGCGGGTAGGGCGTTTGCCTTGCATGCAGCCAACATGGCCGACCCGAGTTCGATTCCTCTGCCCCTCTCGGAGAGCCTGGCAAGCTACCGAGAGTATTTGATATGCCAGACACAGTAACAACAAAGTCTCCAATGGAGATGTTACTGGGCCCGCTCGAGCAAATCGATGATGTATATGCCCAGAAATATTTGTGGCAACCAGAGCTACCCCCAAATAGATATATAAAGGATATATATAGACCTATATATAGATATATATCTATATGTCATGTTCATTGTGATCAATATTTTATATATATAGAATATGTATAGCTATATAGCACTGTAGCACTGTCCTCTCATTGTTCATCGATTTGCTTGAGCAGGCACCAGTAACGTCTCACAACAAATTGTGAGACTTTGTTGTTACTGCTTTTTGCATATTGAATACGTCATGGGTGGCTTGCCAGGCTTTGCTGTGTGGGTGAGATACTCTCAGTAGCTTGCCGGGCTTTTCGAGAGGGGCAGAAAAATCGAACCCAGGTTGGCCATATATATATTCCAGATATATAAAAGACCAAAGATGAAGAAGAGTCAATACAATGAGAGAGAGAGACAGAGAGAGAGAGAGAGAGAGAGAACACCAAGTTTAAGTATTTCCCAAACAAAAACTAGAATTATTCATCAGACTATATTAATTAAGGCTATAATATACATATAAATATATTTAAAATATATAAAATATTAATTATAAGCAGAATCATATGAAATGACTAATATTTGATGAATTTTGAGATTTAAAAATGACAGTTTTGGGCCAGAGAGACAGTGTTGCAGGTAAGGCAGTTGCATTTCTCTGACTGACCCAGATTTGATCCCTGCCACCACTTATGGTCCCCTGAGAATCTCTAGGAGTGATCTCTAAGCATAGAGCCGAAAATAAGCCTGGTACACTACTGGGTATGGACCCAATATGAAAAAATGTGAGTTTTATATATTTTTTGTTGTTGAACCTAACATAATAACACACTCAGAAATAGCTATAATTTAGGAAATTATAGTATACAACTGAGCTGATTTACAGATTAATAGATGGGTCAACTAGTAGCTCATATGTAAAAGGTTGGTTAAATTATTCCTCACCATTCCCCAACAAAAATTCAGATGTGTCATAGATTTAAGTATGGAATTAAAATTTTATAATGTATCTTACTGCTTTTGTATATTCCATTGCTTTGGGTTTTGTTTCTTGCATATTTGTTGCTTACATGAAAAAATGGAGTTGACTTTTCTACATCTTATATCTGGAACCTTCCAGGGTTTTACAAATTTTAATTTTATATCTGAAGATTTGGGGGAGGTTTGAAGTCCATGAATTACAACAGCTATATTGTAATCTTATCTTCTCCCCCCACCAAATCCATTGGAATTGGTGATAGTGAGAGAAGAATGCTTAGTTCTTGATGGTGGAGGGGTTTTAATGTTCTACCATAAGATAGATGTTTGTAGTAGCCTTTTCTGTAAGCTTTTTATCTGGTTAAAGGAACACTTTCCTCCCATCCCCTTTTATTAGTTTAAGAAGGCCTTTGTTTTTATTAGATTATATGTTTTGTCAGAAAATTGTAATTTTAGCCAGTATTTTTCAGACTGTTGCTTAATGGTTTCAGCAAGTATGTGGGGCATGCCTTCTAAATGTGAGGTGCAATGTATGCATGCATCAGGGAACAAAATGGAGGCAAGACTCCACTCCTTGGGGTTTTTGTTTATACAAAAAAGGAAGGAAAAATCAGAATATAAGTAATGAAGCATGTGGAAAAGCAAGTAGGCTGAAGCAAAATACATCAAGCAAGAGAGAAAGGGAATCAGTGGATGCAATGGTGAGTTTGGGAAATGGCAATCACTATTATAGTTAACAGGACGGTTAAATCTCAGAGGTGTTTGGATCAGAGAAGCAAGAACGTTATAGGAATGACCAAATAACACAGTAAATTATCAAATTTTGGTTAAGTCAAAGCAAAATAATATACATTTTTTTTGTTTGGGGGCCACATCTGGTGATACCTAAGGGTTAGTCCTGGCTCTGTGTTTAGGAAGTACTCCTGAGAGGGTTCAAGGCACCATACGGGGTTTTGAGGATTGAATCTGAGTTGGCTTCAAGCAAGGAAAGTACCATACCCACTATACTCTCTGTCCAACCCCAATAACATATGATTTGTGGAATTAGATAAAAATCAAAATAAAATGTATTGGCTGATGTTACTATGGAAAGGGGAAGTGATTGGAGAGAAATTCTCTTGAACCCTTGTTTTAGGATTATCCTGTGAATTAGATTAGAACTAATTTAATCCACAGGATATTAAATTAGTTTAATTTAAACTAATTTAAACAAAACACTCGGGTAAGAAAAATTTTTTCTTGCCTGAGTGTTTTGATGGAAGAATTTAGTCCATTAACATTAATTGTGATGCTTAGATTAACTTTCACACTTTATCTTTTTATTTTATATTCTTTATTTTTATCTGATATTGAAAGATTCCCCTTCTCCCTTTTTCTCTTTTACTATTTAAAATTATTATATATAATTTATGTCATGTAACTCATTATCCAGAAATATATTGCGCACATTTAATCCAAAATAATAACCTTATACTGTAGCATTAGCTTTTGTTTTCACACTTATTATTAAAAATGTATATACTGACATGCCTTTGGAATATATAACAAATTGTTTTATACTAAAAATGAACATATAAATGGAAAGGCATTGGGTTATAGAAATGAATATTTGCTTCCTGTGTTTCGTAATTACTGTTTTTTGTTTGGTTATTTCAGACCTGATCTCTTCAGCTGGGATAAAGTTATCAGGATGTCTGCAGTTGAAAGACTGGAACATGCCTTCAGCAAAGCTCAGACCTACCTGGGAATTGAAAAGCTGTTAGATCCTGAAGGTATTATTCAGTATTTAATTTCAATGTTGATTTTGCCTTGCAACACAAGGAATATGTTTTTTCTCCTCTGTAGACAGAATTATGAGAATTGAGGAATATTTTTTCTTTTAAGTAATTTTTCTTATTTCAGACAAGTTAGTATTAATAACTTGTATTAATTGCCTAACAATAGATGGATTCCATTAGATGGAAATGTAATGTCATCATCAGCAAGTATCACAATAAGGTGTAAAGTTTTGAGCAGATATTTAGAGTGACAATTCATTATTTGTTTTCATTAAGATGCATTTTTCACATGAATTTCTTATATAGAATGTGAGAACTTTAGCTATAATTGTCACAGGGTTGAATTCTAGAGTTCTTTCACAATATAAATGAAAGTCATCTTTGTCTTTAATGGTTGCTTATTTGAGAGGATTTTTTTAGAGTCAGTTTTTAAGAAATGGATACTGAACCAAAATAATAATCATCTTTGCTTTAGTTTTATATGAATTAAAATTTTAATGAGTTTTGATATTACAAAGATTATGTATTGTATTGTTTTGGGGTACTAAAATTTAGTACGTAAACAGTGGGGCATACATGAGGCTCTATTAGATATGGTTATTTTATGTCTAGTACTGAGAAGCTCATACATTTTCAGCAACTAATTTGAGTTTCATTTTCTTCCACTTTCAGATGTTGCCGTTCAGCTTCCTGACAAGAAATCCATAATTATGTATCTGACATCTTTGTTTGAAGTGCTACCTCAGCAAGTCACTCTGGATGCCATTCGTGAGGTCGAGACACTCCCCAGAAAATACAAGAAGGAATGTGAAGAAGGAGAAATCAACATTCAGGTAAATGTTTATTTAAATGCTGGGGTTGCCACATTCATGTTTTCTGAGACACTCGAGGTGAACTTTTTGAGAGAATTTTCCCTCACAGGAACCTCTTGGTTTATAAGGCGACTCGGGCAGAGGCTCAATCTGTCAGTGTCCCGTAGCAGGGTTACAACGCAAGGAAACAGCACCAGTGGTTTCATTGACATAGAAAATAGTTTCCACACAAAACTATGGTTAGGGGTGTGATCTCACAGTCTGACTTGCTTACAAACCTTCATTTTTCCTACCCCCTGGTCACCAGCTTTTACCATTGTGGGCATGTTCTAGAGGTTGCTTGTTTCTTACCAGCCTCATTTCACTCTAAGAATAAATTTTCTGTCTTTTTTTTGCAATCTCAAAAGGCTTTTTACTATTATATTACTACTTCAGGCTATCAGACTACAAGCTTTATTTCTTCATTTGGGAAGGGTAATTGACAATGGACTACTTGGTGGGTAAGGACTTAAAATGATTTTATTCTTTAGGGAGTAAGTGAGCTTTTATTAAGGAGATATAAATAAAGTCATGCATTATTCTCCCAGAATTATCTTGCCTGGGTCAAATAAGATTTTATCCTATCCTGTTTTTGTCTGACTAGTCCTCCCAATTCATAAATGAAATACTCCTCCTAATAGTTCGACAAAGCCACTAGAGTTGTTTGACCCAAATGATAGCAACTAAGAGATACATATGGATTTTAAAATGAGAAGAAATACATTATATAATAGAGAAGTATAGGAGAAAGTACAGGTTTTTGTTGTGGGTTGGTTACTTATTCTTTCAATTAGTTTTATTGCAAAATTTGGTAAAACTACTCACATCATAGACACAGTGAATTCAGTCTGACTAAAATGATATTAGTAGCCACTCCTTGGCTGTCAATTAACTTTATCATGAATTTTCTTCTTAATTTGTCTTGGCATTCTCATTCAATATTATTTCACAGTTTGTTTTAGAAATACTACTGTCTCAGTATAATGGTCTGGAATTGGCATAGAATTTTTTTATTTTTTCCAAGATTTAAAGAGTTTACTGTTTCACATTTTCTTTTGAGTAGTAGACAAAATTTTATTTTAAAAATGGCATAATTTAGGGACCAGATTGGTTCCTGCTTGCCTTGCACATAGCCAGTCCAGGTTGGAGCCCACGCATCATCCCTCAAACCCCACCAGAAGTGATTCCTTTGCACAAAATTAGGAGTAAGCTCTGAGAACTGTGAGGTATAGTCCCCAAAAAGCAAAAAAAAAAAGCATAATTTAAGGCCAGGGATATGGCTTAATGGTGAAGTGCCTGCCACCCCAATATCAGAATACACAAACAGAACCCCCCACCAGAAAAAAATACACCTTGAAACAATATGATGTATGCGAGAAAAAAAAAGAAAAAAAAGGAAGAAAGGAAAGGAAAGAGAGAGAGAGAGAGAGAAAGAAAGAAAGAAAGAAAGAAAGAAAGAAAGAAAGAAGGAAAGAGGAAAAAATAACTTACTGAGGTAAAGAGGGCCAGTGATGGGACCAGATTTTGTATGCTTTTCAAAATCAAGTTAATAATCATGGCTATTTCTGGGTTGTTTTTTTAATTGTCTTGATAAAGGCCAAGAAAGTTATTTGTCTGGCAATAGTTATTAGTCTCTCTTACTGATAACTGCAGGCAGTTTTTCTAGTTTGTTCATTGGTGTAGAATCATTTCTTTATTGCTATTTCTTTTGTTAGAATGATGGGCTCCTTTACTTCTTACAGTTCTTCCTTTAAAAAGATTTCTTTTTTTTAAAGGAATATTTTATTTGATTTTATGATGCATAGCCCAAATAATCGCTTCTGTTTAGGTCTTCATATGCATGGTAAAAATCTCTTTGAGAAGAAGCCATTTGCTGTTTGATTAAGAGCAAATGTATTAACAGTAGTCTCTTCATTTGCATGCTTTTCATTAGTGCCCAAGAGGTTGAATTCAGTTAACTGAAGAAAGAAAATGTGATTGGGTTCTAATCATTTCTTCTTTGACATAGCTTGTAATCTACTATTTACTAATTAATGTCAGTGGCTAGCTTTCCTGTTCTCTCCTGTCTATTGCCATCTGCTGTATAGCATTAGGTGTTCATTAAATTAATCTCATACTGCAGGTTGCCTTGTGTGTTTTAATCAATCCCCTTTGAACATTCACATTTAGATAATGCCTTCCATCTTCCATCTCAAAGCTCCTCGTGCCTATTTCAATGCCTTATGGCTGGCCACTAACTTACCTAAACACAAACACTGCCCTCCCATTGTTCATCGGTTTGCTCAGTGGGCCCAGTAACATCTCCATTTTGAAACTTGTTGTTACTGTGTTTGGCATATTGGATACATCTCGGGTAGCTTGCCAGGCTTTGTTGTGTGGATGAGACTCTTGGCAGCTTGCTGGGCTCTCCGAGAGGAGTAAAGGAATTGAACCTGGCTCTGCAGGGCTGGCTGAGTGCAAGGCAAATGCACTACCCTTGTGCTATCTCTCCAGCGATAAATTTCAGATATTGTCATTAGAATGTACACAGGTAGTACTCTGTGCAATCCAGGGTTATTTTGACAACATTTTAAGGAAGTTATCTCTATGGCATTCTTTATTTTCCCTTCTCTCTCTTTTGAATCCTCCACCCCCAGTTACTTAGAGTTTCATCTCTGCGTTCAATGATTTATTTATTTAATTTATTTGACTATTGTAGCACTGTGGCACTGTCCTCCCATTGTTCATTGATTTGCTCGAGTGGGCACCAGTAACATCTCCATTGTGAGACTATTTAGCTATTGTGTAATTTATTAATTTAATTTATTTAACCTATTTGTTTTAGGCACTGTGATTTATAATCCTGGTCAGTTGACTTTTTCTTTTAGATTCTTATTACCACATTTTTTTTTTGTGCACATTTTCCATCACTTCCTTCAGTCATCTTGATTAAAGATCTCATCTTCTGTGATTTCTAAGATCATCCTCTTCCACAAGGCACCTCATAGCCCTGCAGACCTTTGTCCTTTCCTTAAGATGCTTATGTATGTACATAGTTCTTTATGAAATCCCCCACCTACTGCTTGCATGGCAAATTTTTCATCTTTCCTTTAACTTTTAATGGAACTTTTAGTGAAATCTTCCTTCCCTTATTAACTTATGGAGGGTGAACTACACACAGACAGACAGATAGACACACACACACACACACACACACACACACACACACACCTTTTCTCACCATGTTATTTGCTCTCACAGTAGTTTTATAAACTAGATTAAGAATTTTTAATTTTATGTTAAAAGCGAAAGACCTTAGGCAGGGACGTTTTATGATATGGATATGTTTCCCAAACAGCATTCCAGCTACTGAATGAGAAGTGGATTGTAGACCTAAGAATGGGGAAGCAAAGACTCTGGTAGCGGGTTCTTAACAATTCTGAGGACAGGTACTGTGGTTGTGGAAATAGAGGCATTTAAATGGATCTGGGGCCAATTTTAATGGCAGGAATTATTCACACACTGTATCTGAGCTATGAATGAAAGAAATGAATATTGGTGGGCTTCCTAGGATTTAGCTGGGGTAGTGATGTCCCCTGCGGTGCTGTTTCTGAGACTGGGAAGGCTGGAGAAGATGGTTTTGGTGAGGAAAATGAAGGGCTTGGACATAGATAGAACCGATATGTCAGTGAAACATTGAAGTTGAACATGAACAGGTAGATGAACAGAACGGTTGAAATTTGGGAGTAGAAACACAGAGGTAGCTTTGCAGATTATAAATGGTTCTTAAAAGCTAACCGGAATGGATGAAATCATTTGATAAAAATATACAGAGAGAAGACACAATGGCCCAGGATTTAATGTTGTGTAGGCTCATTACTTGCCAGTTGGAAGATGCTGTTGAACTGACAGGAAAACCCTGTTAGTGAAGTGGGCAGGGAGTACTTAGAGAGAGTAGGGAATGGTTAACCACAAGGAATGCTGCTGAGAGCTTAAGCAGCAGAGGACGGCCCAGAACTCAGACCTGATTGGGTCACTTCTTGTTTAGGAGTGTTGGCTACCATCACCACCGCCACCACCACTACCACAGAAAAACAGAAAGTTCTGGTTAGTGCATTGCACAATCTAAAGATGATGCTTGAAATTTGTTTTCTTTATTGAGAACGTTGTTGGTGACACTGCCAAAAGAATTTTCAGTTGAGCGGTGGAGACAGATGCCAGGTCAAAGTGAAAGAGGTGAAAGAGAATGGTAACATGTTGTGGCACGCAAGTGCATGAAAGTTTTTTCCTTTTTTTTTTTTTTTTTGGTGCCAGACTGGACTCAGGGCTTACTCCTGGCTCTGTGCTTAAAGATCACTCCTCGCCAGCCTTGGGGGAATATGTCTGGTACCAGGGATTGAACCTGGGTGAGCCACATATAAGGCAAGCACCCTACCCACTGTACTATCTCTCTGGCCCCAATATGAATATTTCTGCCTTTTTTTAAACACATTTTTGGTATATTTGAGAGACAAAAATTGTGGAGAAAAGATAACTAAGAGAAGAGATCATACAGGTAGATTTTAAGCAAGTTTTGCTCTAAAAGAACAAAAGAATAAGATGTTGATTTGGTTGTAAGATTCTAAAATAGCACAGCGGGTAGGGCGTCTGCCTTGCATGCAGCCAACATGGCCGACCTGAGTTCGATTCCTCCGCCCCTCTCGGAGAGCCCAGCAAACTACCGAGAGTATTCGATATGCCAGACACAGTAACAACAAAGTCTCCGATGGAGACGTTACTGGGCCCGCTCGAGCAAATCGATGATCAACGGGAGGGCCTTTACTTTACTTTACTTTATTAGAAAACAGATGGGAATAACAGTGTTCTGTTTATTTGTAAAAAAATAGAATGTATTCAGTTCCCAGAGGACTATCAAGTAAACTAGAGGTCAGCTACCCCAAAGAAGAAATATCATATGTACAACACTCAATTTTCATGGTTGTCTTTCTGTCTCTAGAATAAAGTGCTCAGTGAAGTTTAGTTGAAGCAATCAGCAGAATTCTAACAAGTGTCCCTTTTTGTTGGAAGTCTGTCTACCCTTCATGGCTCAGGCTCAATCTATGTCAAAAACATGAAGCTTGCCTGTCTGAGCCCGTGGTAAAGTCAAATAACATCCCTTGTTGAAACCACAGAATTTTGAATATCATTAATAGCCGTTTTATGTTTGTTTGGAAGTGACTCATGTGGGTTATTTCTCTTCCCGACTAGATTAGAATCTCCTTGAGAACAGAATGCTTGAGTGTAAACCCCGTTCGTCCTCTTTGCCAACTTAACATACTTAATAGATATTTCCTGGCTAGTTTACAGATTTCTCACTAGCCTCCTGAGAACTGGTTGAAGGCTTCAGACACAGTGGCACCTACCATAAAGGCTTCTCTTTATGGCGTGTCTTCACTTCCTTTTTAAATTTTTTTTTATTATTTTATTGAATCACAGTGAGATAGAGCATTACACAGCAGTTCATGGTTAGGTTTCAGTCTACAATGTTCCAACACCCATCCCTCCACCAGCGTAATTTCCCAGCACTGATGTCCCCCAGTTTCTCTCCCCCTCAAACCACCCCCAACCTTCACCTGCCACTTCTTCATGACACGAGTGAGTTTTGTTGATGTCTGTTTTATAGAGTTCAGCATCAGAGGGGCATGCGAGTCCCCGAGCTGAAACCCCCAGCACCGTGGCTGAGGTTGATATGGATCTGGACAGCTATCAGATAGCCCTGGAGGAAGTGCTGACCTGGTTGCTTTCAGCGGAGGACACATTCCAGGAGCAGGATGACATTTCTGATGATGTCGAAGAAGTCAAAGACCAGTTTGCCACCCATGAAGTAAATATTCTCTAACAGATGAGTAAGCTCTGTCCACTGTGTGGCCCTTGCCTCGGTCGGAGGCTCCATTCTGAATTGTACTTACTGAGTTCTGTGCATGAAAAGGTCATGGCGCATTTTAGGACTTGAAGCATTTAAAGAGGCCTTTGTTAGACAATGGGCGTGGGTGATTAACTGCATTTTGATTAGATTTGAATTTTAATCTTATCATCACTTGTGTATTCTGTGGCACTATAGATAGAGACCAAAGCCGTTGGTCTCTATCTAGCCATTGGTCCTTGCCGAAGTATATTTTTTTTTTTTTTTTTATTTTTTTTTTATTTATTTTTTTTTTTTATTTATTTATTGAATCACTGTGGGAAAAGTTACAGAGCTTTCGGGTTTAGGTCTCAGTCATGTAGATACCGAACACATTTCCCTTTACCAATACTCATTTTTAACCCCGAACCCCAATAGACCCCCACCTCCCACCCCTCCCAATTCTTATGAGGCAGATGAGTTCTAGTTAATACTCTATCTACTTTGACTAGATAGATTATTTCGATAGAAGATGCACAATTATTGTTTAGAGTTTACGACCCACCCCCCCCCCAATCAGACATGCTGAAACAGCGTTGTGAAATGATTTGCTTTCTAGAACTTGGTTTAAGAATAAAATGATGTCGCGCGGCCGCTATCGCGGCCGCGCGGTTTTGAATTTCTGCTATTTTACTTATTGACCCTGGAAGAATTTCTATTAAAAGTTAGCTAGTTAAGAGATTGATTTCTGTGCCCTGGAGTCGTGGCCGTGCCGGAGAGCCGCTCGTGGGGGGCAGCCGGCGACCTCGGTGGGGCGTGGGGGACGGCCCACAAAGCCCCCCTTCCCATGAGGTCCCCGCCGCTTCCCCGAGCCCGGCTCAAACCCGCTTTCCACAAGGCTCCCGTGCGGCCGCCATCTTTCTTTCCAGAGAGGAGCGGGCGGGCCGGTCAACGCCCTTCCCCCTCCGGGCAGGCTTGGTGGCGCGCATCAACACAAGTCCATTTGCTTTTCTGCTCCAAGCGGCTGGTTCTCTGTGCTAAGTCCTTGTGCCTCCGGGGCCGTGGCCGTGCCGGAGAGCCGCTCGTGGGGAGCAGCCGGCGACCTCGGTGGGGCGTGGGGGACGGCCCACAAAGCCCCCCTTCCCATGAGGTCCCCGCCGCTTCCCCGAGCCCGGCTCAAACCCGCTTTCCACAAGGCTCCCGTGCGGCCGCCATCTTTCTTTCCAGAGAGGAGCGGGCGGGCCGGTCAACGCCCTTCCCCCTCCGGGCAGGCTTGGTGGCGCGCATCAACACAAGTCCATTTGCTTTTCTGCTCCAAGAGGCTGGTTCTCTGTGCTAAGTCCTTGTGCCTCCGGGGCCGTGGCCGTGCCGGAGAGCCGCTCGTGGGGAGCAGCCGGCGACCTCGGTGGGGCGTGGGGGACGGCCCACAAAGCCCCCCTTCCCATGAGGTCCCCGCCGCTTCCCCGAGCCCGGCTCAAACCCGCTTTCCACAAGGCTCCCGTGCGGCCGCCATCTTTCTTTCCAGAGAGGAGCGGGCGGGCCGGTCAACGCCCTTCCCCCTCCGGGCAGGCTTGGTGGCGCGCATCAACACAAGTCCATTTGCTTTTCTGCTCCAAGCGGCTGGTTCTCTGTGCTAAGTCCTTGTGCCTCCGGGGCCGTGGCCGTGCCGGAGAGCCGCTCGTGGGGGGCAGCCGGCGACCTCGGTGGGGCGTGGGGGACGGCCCACAAAGCCCCCCTTCCCATGAGGTCCCCGCCGCTTCCCCGAGCCCGGCTCAAACCCGCTTTCCACAAGGCTCCCGTGCGGCCGCCATCTTTCTTTCCAGAGAGGAGCGGGCGGGCCGGTCAACGCCCTTCCCCCTCCGGGCAGGCTTGGTGGCGCGCATCAACACAAGTCCATTTGCTTTTCTGCTCCAAGCGGCTGGTTCTCTGTGCTAAGTCCTTGTGCCTCCGGGGCCATGGCCGTGCCGGAGAGCCGCTCGTGGGGAGCAGCCGGCGACCTCGGTGGGGCGTGGGGGACGGCCCACAAAGCCCCCCTTCCCATGAGGTCCCCGCCGCTTCCCCGAGCCCGGCTCAAACCCGCTTTCCACAAGGCTCCCGTGCGGCCGCCATCTTTCTTTCCAGAGAGGAGCGGGCGGGCCGGTCAACGCCCTTCCCCCTCCGGGCAGGCTTGGTGGCGCGCATCAACACAAGTCCATTTGCTTTTCTGCTCCAAGCGGCTGGTTCTCTGTGCTAAGTCCTTGTGCCTCCGGGGCCATGGCCGTGCCGGAGAGCCGCTCGTGGGGAGCAGCCGGCGACCTCGGTGGGGCGTGGGGGACGGCCCACAAAGCCCCCCTTCCCATGAGGTCCCCGCCGCTTCCCCGAGCCCGGCTCAAACCCGCTTTCCACAAGGCTCCCGTGCGGCCGCCATCTTTCTTTCCAGAGAGGAGCGGGCGGGCCGGTCAACGCCCTTCCCCCTCCGGGCAGGCTTGGTGGCGCGCATCAACACAAGTCCATTTGCTTTTCTGCTCCAAGCGGCTGGTTCTCTGTGCTAAGTCCTTGTGCCTCCGGGGCCGTGGCCGTTCCGGAGAGCCGCTCGTGGGGGGCAGCCGGCGACCTCGGTGGGGCGTGGGGGACGGCCCACAAAGCCCCCCTTCCCATGAGGTCCCCGCCGCTTCCCCGAGCCCGGCTCAAACCCGCTTTCCACAAGGCTCCCGTGCGGCCGCCATCTTTCTTTCCAGAGAGGAGCGGGCGGGCCGGTCAACGCCCTTCCCCCTCCGGGCAGGCTTGGTGGCGCGCATCAACACAAGTCCATTTGCTTTTCTGCTCCAAGCGGCTGGTTCTCTGTGCTAAGTCCTTGTGCCTCCGGGGCCGTGGCCGTGCCGGAGAGCCGCTCGTGGGGGGCAGCCGGCGACCTCGGTGGGGCGTGGGGGACGGCCCACAAAGCCCCCCTTCCCATGAGGTCCCCGCCGCTTCCCCGAGCCCGGCTCAAACCCGCTTTCCACAAGGCTCCCGTGCGGCCGCCATCTTTCTTTCCAGAGAGGAGCGGGCGGGCCGGTCAACGCCCTTCCCCCTCCGGGCAGGCTTGGTGGCGCGCATCAACACAAGTCCATTTGCTTTTCTGCTCCAAGCGGCTGGTTCTCTGTGCTAAGTCCTTGTGCCTCCAGGGCCGTGGCCGTGCCGGAGAGCCGCTCGTGGGGAGCAGCCGGCGACCTCGGTGGGGCGTGGGGGACGGCCCACAAAGCCCCCCTTCCCATGAGGTCCCCGCCGCTTCCCCGAGCCCGGCTCAAACCCGCTTTCCACAAGGCTCCCGTGCGGCCGCCATCTTTCTTTCCAGAGAGGAGCGGGCGGGCCGGTCAACGCCCTTCCCCCTCCGGGCAGGCTTGGTGGTGCGCATCAACACAAGTCCATTTGCTTTTCTGCTCCAAGCGGCTGGTTCTCTGTGCTAAGTCCTTGTGCCTCCGGGGCCGTGGCCGTGCCGGAGAGCCGCTCGTGGGGGGCAGCCGGCGACCTCGGTGGGGCGTGGGGGACGGCCCACAAAGCCCCCCTTCCCATGAGGTCCCCGCCGCTTCCCCGAGCCCGGCTCAAACCCGCTTTCCACAAGGCTCCCGTGCGGCCGCCATCTTTCTTTCCAGAGAGGAGCGGGCGGGCTGGTCAACGCCCTTCCCCCTCCGGGCAGGCTTGGTGGCGCGCATCAACACAAGTCCATTTACTTTTCTGCTCCAAGCGGCTGGTTCTCTGTGCTAAGTCCTTGTGCCTCCGGGGCCGTGGCCGTGCCGGAGAGCCGCTCGTGGGGGGCAGCCGGCGACCTCGGTGGGGCGTGGGGGACGGCCCACAAAGCCCCCCTTCCCATGAGGTCCCCGCCGCTTCCCCGAGCCCGGCTCAAACCCGCTTTCCACAAGGCTCCCGTGCGGCCGCCATCTTTCTTTCCAGAGAGGAGCGGGCGGGCCGGTCAACGCCCTTCCCCCTCCGGGCAGGCTTGGTGGCGCGCATCAACACAAGTCCATTTGCTTTTCTGCTCCAAGCGGCTGGTTCTCTGTGCTAAGTCCTTGTGCCTCCGGGGCCGTGGCCGTGCCGGAGAGCCGCTCGTGGGGAGCAGCCGGCGACCTCGGTGGGGCGTGGGGGACGGCCCACAAAGCCCCCCTTCCCATGAGGTCCCCGCCGCTTCCCCGAGCCCGGCTCAAACCCGCTTTCCACAAGGCTCCCGTGCGGCCGCCATCTTTCTTTCCAGAGCCGAAGTATATTTTATAGTTAAGACACAAACTGCCTGAACAGTACGTCGAATCTTTAGGTTTTGAATGTTCCCTCAGAAGTGATTGCTTTCATTTATTGGATGATTAAGCAAATGTCAGATCCCATGTTCCTGCATAATTTTATGTAATGAAACTTTTCTCCTTTTTTGAGAATATGCTGTTTTGTACAAAAGAACACTTTCTTTTTGATGTGTGTGTGTGTGTGTGTGTGTAAGAGAGAGAGACAGTCAGACAGAGAGAGATAGAGACAGACAGACAGAGAGTGTGTGTAATATCGAGAGACAGAGAGACATAATGTTGACAGATCTCATGGCACTGTTTTGGTTTGAAAATAATAGAAATGACAATAGTCCTTAAGTCCTGAGGCAGTTTCTCTTGGATGAGAATGGTGATTCATTTTGTTTTCTCCTAATTCTTTGTTCTCAAATCTGTCAGTAGAATTATCAGCACTTACTAAAATATAGCTGGTGCTCTCAAATGTAAACTTGTCCGATTTGATCTATTTTTCTTAGGTAAATGTATTTCCTCTATTCAGTGCTTAAAACCTGGATCAAAGTCTGCTTATTTGCACTTTGCAGGGCTGCCCTTTCCTGCAGCATTGATATTTTGGCATTAACAATTTATGAAGATACTTTTGAACCAAGTGGCTGAGGATCCTCATGCCTTATCTTTCCAGGCTTTTATGATGGAACTGACCGCTCACCAGAGCAGTGTGGGGAGTGTCCTACAGGCAGGAAACCAGCTGATAACCCAAGGCACTCTGACAGATGAAGAAGAATTTGAGATTCAGGAACAAATGACGCTGCTGAATGCCAGATGGGAGGCGCTGAGGGTGGAGAGCATGGGGAGACAGTCCCGGTGAGTGAAGCGAAGGAACGGACACTTTATCCCGCGGAGAGCAGGGCCGCGTTTCGTACCAGGAAGAGTCGGCGTGGCTCTGAAGATGGGAGAGTTCAGATCTTAATTTATTTTTATTTATTTATAAAATGGTTGAAATGTTCTGTGATCTTAGTTTCTGATGTGACATCTCAGCCGAACCAAAGGGAATACAGAAATGGACAATAAAAAGAAAAAAAACATATTTCATAGGAACATATACTTGGCCTCACGTGTATTTGCCTTATTAAACGAGTAAGCAAGAACTTGATATGAGAAGGAGGCATTGCAAGTGTCCGCCTACAGTTCTGTTCTGTAACATTTATCACAAGGTTCCTTCCATCCCCATTATTCATTTCCTTTCATAAATTGTGAATGAAGGCTCAGCCTGCAGTCCTTAGCAAGGCACCCTGGTTGAAGAAAAATTGGTTCTGATACAGATTTAGATGCATTATTTGATTGCTTTCAAGTCCACTCCATTTAGGTAGAGAATACAACTTCTTTTCCCCCTGATTTATTTTTATTTATTTATTTATTTATTTATTTTCTTTTTGGATCACACCCAGCAATGCTCAGGGGTTACTCCTAGCTCTGCACTCACAAATTACTCCTGGCGGTTCTGGAGGAACATGTGGTGTGCCGGGAATCGAACCCGAGTGGCCACGTGCAAAGGCAAATGCCTCCCCACTGTACTATATCTCTAGCCGCATTCCTGATTTTTATATTTCCAAAATAACACAGGCCTGGGGAGGTAGCTTCATGGGTAAAGCACATACCTGGCAAGGGTGAAGCCCTGGGTTTTGTCCCCAACCCTGTGTGTGTGTGTGTGTGTGTGTCCCCTGATTATTGCCAGAAGTATCCCTGGTGCCTGTTGAACACCGTCAGCCTGAAGGCGGAAACATCATGCCCCCAACACGTGACCAGGCATCCCAGAAAGTGGCCTTAGGGTCCCCAGCTCTGCCCAGGAGACCTCTATTTTTTTTTGTTTTGGGGCTACACCCAGCGGTGCTCCGGGCTTATATTCCTAGTGGGCTCTGAGGACCACACGGGATGCCAGGGAGGCAAGGCAAGCCCCGAGACCCCCTCTTTTTGAAAAGGATAAGTGCTTCTTGAAATAAACTAGATGCGCGTGTGTACCCTCGCCTCATTTCCTGGACGCCGCTGGAGAGCGTCCGAGCAGACGCGAATGATGCTGTGCTCATCCCCGACAGGCTACACGATGTGCTCATGGAGCTGCAGAAGCAGCAGCTGCAGCAGCTCTCCGCCTGGTTAACGCTCACCGAAGAGCGGATTCAGAAGCTGGAAACCTGCCCCCTGGACGACGAGTTAACATCCCTGCAGAAGCTGCTAGAAGATCATAAAGTAGGTCTGGCTCATGTATCTTTCCTAGCTTATCAAATCGGACAGAGCAGCACTTAGTATTCCCTGGGGGCTGCATCATTAGTGCAGAGGTGAAACCCTTTCGTGTTCTCATCATTCAACAGCGATTTGTGGGCAGGTGGCCTTTCTGAGCCAGGGTGAACGTATGGGGAGCATTCTCTGGGGTGTGGAAGTTTCCTTGTGAGGGTGCGCAGCGATTATAAGATTTTCAAGGATATATTTGAACCCTGAAGGTGGTTAAGTGCTCTAATGTGTGGCTTAATGTATTGGTGGGAGTTAAGCAAATGGGATGATGCCTCTGTTCTTTGGCCCTTTAAAAATTTGTACTGTAATTTAGGTAGAATGATGACAGTGGTTTTTTCCTTATAGTTTTGATGTACAAAGTTACTGAATCTCACAACCATCAAAGTACCCCAGGCCCTCCACCACCGTACTTGTTATTTCTAGTTTACTTCTTCATCCCCTTCTTCCTCCTCTTTGCTGGAGAGGGATTACATCTTCTTTGGCTTTAACACTGAATGAGGAGCCAGAAGTGATGGACGGTTTAATTTGATTACAAATTTAGGAGGCAACTTTTCAGTCAAATAAGAAAAGGAGTCTTCTTGTAGATTGTTTGGAGATACTTTATTGAGTAGTGAAATATCTAGGTAACTGATTCGACTTTAGAGTTGTGCTCAGCACAGCTCAAGAAGCAGTTGGTAACTCTGTTGTAGTATTTACAAAAATTATATATTAGCCTACATCAGTGAACTACCTTGCTCTTTCATGGAAGAGAGGAGGGAAGGCATCTGTATAGATCCTTAATTACTTTTCTTGGTAGCTAATTAGAACAACTTCTGATAATCGAAGCTGTCTTTGTCTTACTACATATACCATGATGTCCTTAAGAAATTATCTATTAAAAAATATTAGATATTTAAAGTTTGGATTTTTTGACTGACCATTTCTACATTTGACTACCAATTCTACAATTCCAGTAGCATTCCAATAGCATTTTTTTGATTTACCAATTCCTAATTTCCACTACAAACTCTCTACTTATTTATTCTGTGTTTTAAGGGGGCCAATACTTAGGATACAAAGGTGCTAATGTCCCATATACAATCTGTTATGACACTGCATCTTTTAAATTACTTTCATTCATAATGAAATGTAAAGGTGTGTAATGGGCTGATTTCATTAGTAGAACACTTAGTGTAATGATTGGAAATGTAAACACGATGCCTCATTAAGTGTCCTTAATTGCCATTGACAACCGAGTGGATTTTAAGTAGGTAAATGGGAAAGAGTAGGAATAATGGTTTTATCTTCATTTTACCTCCAGAGTTTGCAAAGTGATCTTGAGGCTGAACAAGTGAAGGTAAATTCATTAACTCACATGGTGGTGATCGTCGATGAGAACAGTGGCGAGAGTGCCACAGCTGTACTGGAAGATCAGTTGCAGGTAAACACCCCATCCACTGGGATGATGCAAGCATCCTGGGGTCTGCAACCCATCTGCACCATACCACTCTTCTTCATGTTTTGTATGTGGCTTTCCAAGATTAACATAAATGAGTGTAGTTTGTACTTTCCATTTGGGTTTCCACAGTTTAGGGGTACCTGGAGTACCTGGATATGTATTCCTTCTTTTCAGAGCTTGGGGTGAATGAGAGGGAGTGCTAATGGGATCCAGATTTCTTGTGGATATTAATAACCATGCTGAGACCACTCTCCGCACACATGAAGGTACCGGCAGAGAAACAAAGGCATGCGGGTCCCGGGACTGAGATCTCCAAGCCTACTCAGATCAGGGCTGAGCATCCTCCACCCAGATTCTCCAAATTCCAGTAGGCGGAGGTCACACCCACCAACTGACCCCCTGGTGCTGTGTAATCCCATCAACGGCCAAGACTCAGAGACTATAAAACCCAGCTCCCGGAAGCGCATGGCCGCATTCGCAGCCGCACGACATCTTATTATCTCATTCCTATTTTGGACAAACTGGCAGGCTACCGAATGTAACCTGCCCACACGGCAGAGTCTGGCAAATTCCCCGTGGCGTACCCAATATGCCAAATACCAGTAACAATTATGGGTCTCATTCTCCTAATTCTGAAAGAGCCTTGAATATGGCACTTTTCTAAAAATCTCAGGGCTAGGACGAAGGAGACGTTACTGCGGCCTGTTCAAGGCAATCGACGAATAACAGCATGGTCGTGATCATTGTGATTAATAACCAGATTTAGAAGGACAGGAGTAGAACTCATGCTGTCTCAAGGATTTCTTTCTCAGAGCACATCAGAAGGTGGAAAATTGCACTCTCCCACCCCCCCGGATCACGAGTTAAAATCCCTACAGAAGCTGGGGATTTTAACTCTATTTTGCTCTATTTTGAAGATATATTTAAAATATCTCAAATTTGTATATTAAAATCAGAATGCAGTGAAAAGAGCAGGAGTTTGGAGATAACTCACATGTGAGGCATTTGCTCCAATGTAGTTGCTGGACTCTAGGCAGATCTGAATTTTGAGATGGGGGTCTTTGAAAATTGAATATATATGTGTTAGAATTTGGAGATTTGGCTATGGTGGATGTAGTGCTCCTGTTTCTTTGTAAATCAAAATGTGAATGTCCCCAACAGTTTTGGAAATCCCAACAAATTTAGGCTACTTTATAACTTTTTTCCCCACACAAAATTATAGTGTTTCTTTACTTGTCTATATAAAGAAATTTTTTGGTAGTTCATAGGAACAGTAATTATATTAGCTGATAGAATATCCCAGTCTATGTCTTTTAGTAGCTTTCAGAATAAAAATGAGACACATGACATTCTTTTTGCTTCTGTAACATTGATGTTGGCCTATGGCTGTTTGACTTTGGTGCAGGAATATCTGCTCACACTAATCTGAGAGGTAGGCATTCCTGAAATGCCTTTTTCACAGTGAGGAAACTCAAGTTCAGAGAGGTTAAATATTTCCCCCAAGATTTAAATAGACTTTGAGTTAGAGTCCTCAGGTAGGGGCCCCACCTCTAAACTCTTACTTCTCTGCCTTTTGTATTTTATAAAGCATACTTTGGTATGAGAGAACAGAAGAGTAAACTATGATCTAAGTAATTCTTTCTCTATTATGTCGTTAAAAATAAGATTTAACATTGAGGAAAATTGGTTGGGTCAACCCAAAGAATGATTATTTAAAAATTAGTAAATTGATCTACCTTTACAAACACTTACAAGGTTTCTTCACTGGAGCACTCAGTGTGAACAGGTGAAATCAAATAAGTGTTTATAAATTTTATAGCCATTCAAAACACAGTTTATACAAGATTAATTGTTTTATAATGTTTCTAATTGTTTTATAATGTTTTACAAATGAAAACTCTCTTGGCTCATAAGAGATGAGTGAGAAATGATTGGTTATTGGAAAAAATTTTAAGTAAATGATAGCCTGAAAAATGTAAACTCAATGAAGATTTGTTTGCTCTATTTTGAAGATATATTTAAAATATTTCAAATTTATATGTTAACATCAGAATGCAGTGAAAAGAGCAGGAGTTTGGAGATAAAAGACACAAGTTAGAATTCTACTCATACCTCTTTCTTCCTCTGAAGTGGGAAGTAATTAAATTGTATGGAAATTAGTTTTTATCATCTGGAAAGTTTCAGGATTCATCTATTATTTTAAATGAGCTTTAATAAAATGCTTTGCACACACTGCTATTCTGAATAAAAAATTGAGCTCTGGATAAAAAGTTGAGCCTTGAGTTTGAGGGTGCTGATAATTGTATGTATTGTAGGACTGTTGACGAAGCTTTCTTGCTTTCCTAGAAACTCGGTGAACGGTGGACAGCTGTGTGCCGCTGGACAGAGGAGCGCTGGAATAGGTTACAGGAACTCAATCTATTGTGGCAGGAGTTACTGGAAGAACAGGTAAGACATGGACCCTTCATGGGCCAAGTAGATAGTGAAATCTAACGCCGCATTTAATGATGAGGTTGAAAACATCTTATTTCCTTTCTTTGCAAGTAGACAAATTTTTTATTTGTAAACAATCCATTTTCTGTCTGTTCATAAGCTTATTCATGGTGACCATATTGTATGACCCCATTGATAATAACGTCACTAGTGTTCGTAGCTTTAAATGTTAGTTTATTTGACATAATAATTTGTGTTGAATTTGGCTTGAGCTTTTATCAACAAAGTGCCTGTCATGTAGATGATGCTTGGTAATTAATGATAAATGGATTTATTCAGCACTTCCTGAACTTCAAATAACAAGAACTTGTCTAGATTTTTTCTGTTTTTTTTTCTTTTTGGGCCATATGTGGCTGTGTTCAGGGCTTGCTCCTGGTTCTATGCTTAGGGGGCTTAGGGGTCCAGGGATCAAACTTGGATTGGCCATATGTGAGGCAGACTGTACTATCGCTCTAGCACTTGTTACTGTTTAGCAGCATCACTGTTTTAACACTAAAATTAAAAAATTAATATATTTTTTTCTGCATGGATTGCTATAGCAAGATAATGGATAACCACTGACACAAAACTGCCTACCCTCCATGCTTCTGTAAAGTACTTATTAATAGTATTAATAAGTAAAGCATTTCTCCTAGATGCCAATATATTGTAGCTTTTTGAATATGAGTGATACTTTAATTCCACATCTCAGACTCTATTTAACGAATTCATTTATTTCTTTTGTTTTGAGCCATACCCAGTGGTTTTCAGGTCTTATTCCTGACTCTGTGTTCAAGTATCACTCTTGGTGGGTCGCTAGGGGCTTTTGGGGGTACCAGGTCCAGCACTTCAATCTTCCTGCATGCTGTCATATCTCTTTAGTCCTCTGGCTCTATTTTACATTCTTTAAATGTACTTTTTTAATTTCTCTCCACAAAAAGAAGCCATATTCTTTTTACGTGATAAAATAAGTGTATGCTTTATGGTTTATTAAAACATAAATGTAGTACATGTACATGTAGTAGTAGTAGTAGTAGTAGTAGTAGTAGTAGTAGTAGTAGTATTAATACTAGTGGTCGTAGTAGTCATCATAGCAGCAGCAGTAGCAGTAGTAGCAGTAGTGGAGAGACCATCTTAAAAAGTAGGTGGTGGGTGGCCTCAAAGCCATGGAGTAATCCTCCTGGTACTTATCTTGGCTATTCTTGGGTGTTAGTCTCCTATTTTATTACTTTATGTTCCCCAGATCAATGCAATCTTTCTATGTCTGTCCCTCTCTTTTTGACCCATTTCACTTAGCATGATACTTTCCATGTAGTACCACTTGTATATGAGTTTCATGACTTCATCTCTTCTAACAGCTGCATAGTACTCCATTATGCACGCTAGGGGATAAGGCAGCTCAGATAGAGAAGAGAGCACCAAATAAAGGGTGTTGGGAGGTTCAGGATGGGAGATGTGTGATGAGAGTAGACTATAGACCGAACATGATTGCTACTCAATGTCTCTTTTGCAAACCACAACACTCAAAAGGAGAGAGAGAACAAAAGGGAATGCCCTGCCACAGAGGTAGAGTGGGATGGGGGTGGGGTGGGGGGTGTGAGGGATACTGGGATCAGTGGTGGTGGAGAATGGGCAATGGTGGATGGATGGGTATTTGATCATTGTATAACTGAAACCCAAGCACAAAAATTTGTAAGTCTACAACTGTACCTCATGGTGTTTTCACTAATAAAAATTTAAGGAAAAAAGAAGTAGGTAGTGGGGAAATAGCTCAAACTGTTAGAGCTCATGCCTTGCATGCACAAAGCTCCAAGCCCCAGGCACTGTGTGATCCACCTTCAGTACCTCTGGATGTGTTCCTGACGGCCTCCAAGCATCTGGTCTGCACTGCATCACTGCATTTAAATCCCTGTCAGATCAGCACTATGGGGCCAAAGGTGGCTGGAAGGGGCCCCAGCCACTGTAGTGAAGTGGTCTGTATGATGAGGACAGGGATTGGGGCTGAGCATATGGCTCTAAGAGAACTCAGGTTCCATCCTTGATATGGCGTGGCATCAGAGCACCACCCAGAATGATCCTGCCCCCTGAGCACTGCTGAGTGTGCACCTTCCACCACCACAATAACAATTTAAAAAAAGGTTGTAGTAAAATTAGTATAAATCACTACTCCCATTATTTGGTCGGACTTTTCCCTAATCTCATAAGAAACCTACCTGGCTTTAATTTACGAAAAAGCATATTTTACTTTATAAAATTTAAATTTACTTGAATCCTTGTATTTAGGCCAAAAAATAACAGAGAATACTTAAAATAATTGGAAGAAGTTGGGCTGGAGGTAAGGCACTTGCCTTATGTGTAGCTGACCCAGATTAGGTTCTGGCCCCACATGTTTCCCTGAGAACTTCCAGGAGTGATCCTTGAGCGAAGAGCCCAGAGTAAGCCCTGTGCACTGTATTGTACCCCCTCCCCCACAAATAAAACCAAAACCAAAACCAAAACAGGAAACCAAAAACAGTAATCGGAAGACCTCAGGGTTCTAGCTTAGTAGTAGATCAACTTTGCATGTGTAAAACCCTGGGTTTGATTCCTGGCACCACCATAAGTGAAATAAAATTTATGGTTTGATTCCCGGCACCACCATAAATGAACTAAAATTTATGGTTTGATTCGTGGCACTACCATAAATGAAATAAAATAAGCCAACATAAATAGTGGGAGACACTGACTGCTACAAAAAAGCCTGGTATTACTCTTCTACTAATAAAATAAAGAAGAACTTGGAAGTACTTTTAATTCGCTAATTTAAAGCATAGATTTTAAAAAATAGATCCTGTCTACTCTCCTTGTCATTCCACTGACCTTTAACGACTTTCTTATGGAAGCAGTTAATATGGAGGCGGGGAATTAGCACAAGTGTAGAGTAGAAACGAACCTTCATCCTTAATATTTAGATAATTTGTGGTTGTGTGGTCTGAGACCAAGTACAGTGCCTGAACTTAAGCAACCTTTCAAGGGATTTCTTATCCACTCAGTAACAGAGGCATTAAGATGATTTGGCAAATGAGTTGGAGCCTATGGCAAGTTCGAGTGTGGCTCTGAGTAATATCTCACTCTCCCTTTGCAATATTTTTTTTAAAATTTTATTTTATTGAATCACCATGAGATATAGTTACAAGCTTTCATGTTTGAGTTACAATCACACAGTGATCAAAAACCCATCCCTCCACTAGTGCACATTCTCCACCACCAATGTCCCCAGTATACTTCCCCCTTTCCCACCCTCCCACTGCCTCCATGGCAGACAATTTCCCCCTTACTCTCATTGGGTATGACAGTTTGCAATACAGATACTGAGAGGTTATCATGTTTGGTTCTTTATCTACTTTCAGCACACATCTCCCACCCCGATCAATCCCTCCAACCTTCATTTTCTTATTGATCCCTTCTCTATTCCAGCTGCCTTCTCCCCCCTTGCTCATGAGGCAGGCTTCCAAATACGGGGCCGTCTTCCTTGTGTCTACTGTCCCTTTGGAGTCTCAACCTCCTTCCATGCACCCCATGCTCGTGCCTGGAGTTACTTGCTGTTCCCTTTCCTTCAGTTATTGGTGTTACAGATCTCTCTTCTGCATCCTCTCAGCTCTTCCCAGCGCTTGGCACACCATGACGTGACTGCCTCATAGTGATTGTCTTGTTTGCCAGAAAAGGGTCTGCGTATTTTGTTTTCTCATCCCTGTGTTTTGCCTCAGGCGCGGATGCCATTTGCCCTGGCATCCCTCATCACTGATCATTTCCTTTCTCTCTTTACATTATCAGCTCCCTTCTGCACCCCCAGTGTCCTGAAGCTGGAAGCAGTCTCTTCTTCTTTGGAACTGCCACATATTAAACTTTTAAATATTATATATACACAGGCATATGTCTCTCTAGTGTGGATTTCTGGTGTCTTCTGTTCAGAGGTTTTTTTTTATGCATAGCTTATTACCTATTCCTCTGATAAAGTAGTCATATTTGTCTCGTGTTTTGCATGTGTTTTTTTTTCTTGGCTTGCGAATAAAGAAGCAGGATCAGTTGCTAAATAAAATGACCACTGTAAAATTAGGGAAGGAATTGATAACATACAAAACCAAGAGTTTCCTTCTCCCAACTCTGTAGAAAGGGGTTTCTGTGATAGACTTTGCTTTTTGAAAAGAATGAATCCAGTGCAGTTGTTCATTCTCCCTTCAAGTTTTTCTTTCTTGCTTAAATAAGTGGCTTGTGCGTAAACACTGTGTTCTTGGCCAAGTACGTTTGAACATCTTATGTTGACTTTGGACCATCTTCAGACATCTCCCTCTGATCATAACTACAGTTGAACCTGGAGCATCCATATCGTTTTTCTGCACAACACCCTGGAAAAGCCTCTGACTAAAATATTGGTACTTTATCTGCCTCTGCTCTTACTTGCCAAGAGATTGATTTTGAATTTGTTGCTTGACTTTTCTCTCCACCCTCCCTTAAATGAACAGGACAAAACAGTCTCTTAAGATTCTGTTGGATGATTTCTTTTCCCCCCGCCCCCTTCTTCAAAAATCTTCACATACCGGAGCTGCCGGCGTCAAATCCATACATGTGGCAGTACTGGGTTTGAACTCTTGACCATGCACTTGCTGGACAGGGGTTTTAGTTGCTGAACCTCTCTTAGAGGTTCTGAACTTCATTTTGCCTCTGTTGAGTTATGATTCTTTTGGAGACTTGGAGAATTGGACATGACTTTTTAGATTCACCTTGCTCCTTGAAATTTGGTTGCTACCCAGGTGTAAGGTTAATGTCAAGGTTCTCTTTTGCAAATTTGAGAGGAATATTTTCAAGAGAGGTGTCTTTCCGACCCACTTAATCTTAAGAGCTTGTTGATTTTGGCCACTCTTGATTCCTGACTCTGTATTCAGGGATCACTCTGGTCAGTACTCGGAAGACCATATGGGGGTCTGGATATTGAACCTTGGATATTGAACCTTGACTGTGTAGTACAAGCACCTTTCCCTCTGTACTATCTCTTTGGCCCCAGGCTTAGGAGTTTCAAGATTAGTGGGTCTTATGATAAGAAATTGCCCTTATTTTAGGGAAGGGTGAAACCTTTAGTAAAATTAAATATCTGGGTATGGCAACTTGACTGGCTGAAATACTAAAGATTTCTTGATTACAGTTCTAACATTAAAAAAATTTTCTTGTAGTGTTTGTTAAAGGCTTGGCTAACAGAAAAAGAAGAGGCCTTAAATAAAATCCAGACAAGCAGCTTCAAAGACCAGAAGGAATTAAGTGTCAGTGTTCGGCGACTGGCAGTAAGTGATGTTGTTATCTGCATCTGTCTGTAAGGCTGTGATATTTCAGTGTTTCGCATCAATGGTTAATGCTGTTTGTTGACTCTACATTATATTCATCACTCAGTGATAAAATGCTAGAACCCGAATGTTTATGTTTTAACGTTAGTAAATTGTATAGTAAGTACATCATACTATAAAACACGTGTTTACAATTTGAGACTGGGGGAGAGAAATATAAAGTCATATCAAGAGATTATCTAATATATACTTGAACTATTAGATTTTAAAAGAAGACATGGAAATGAAGCGTCAAGCCCTGGATCAGTTGAGTGAGATTGGGCAGGATGTGAGTCAATTAATTGATAATCCCCGAGCATCTGAGAAGATCAACAGCGACTCAGAGGAACTGACTCAGAGATGGGATTCTCTGGTTCAGAGACTAGAAGATTCTTCTAACCAGGTATCTTTTTCTTTGGACAGTACGTGGTTCCATTAAGTAGAAATTAAATGTTGTCAGGTTAGTTTAAGTTTTTATGAAACAAAGTTACTTGCTTACACTGAAAAGTCTGTTTCTTTACCCAGTTTACTGTAAAATTGAAATATTGGTGTGTGAAAATATTTAGTTTTCAAAGTAAACCTTAATCTTTAAAAAAACATACTAATGTCCAGTATTTTAACTGGTAATAGAAAAAATAGTAACTGGTCATAGAAAAAATCTGTTTCATGTCATGAAAGATGAATTAATCTAAAGAATGCTTTTGTGAGAGTTGATTAAATATATAATGTGTTTAGGGGTCAGAAAGATAGTACAGTGGTTAGGGCACTCGTCTTACATGCAGCAGACCTGGGTTTAATCCCTGGAGCCCCTGTGTTACTCTGATCCCCACTCCTGAATGCAAAGCCAGGATTCCTCCTTCCGCCTTGAGAACCACCAGGTGTGACCCCAAAACAAAACAATGTGTTTACATAAATGTTTATCGAAACATTCATAATAGCCGAAAAGTGAAACAGCTCAAGCGTCTATCAACAGAGGGATGCTGAAGCAAATTACAGTTTCACTATATATTGGGTTATTATTTGGCAATAAAAAATGAAGTATTGATATATACTCTAACATGGACATATCCTGAAACTGTTATCATACTAAGTAAATGGAACCAGTCACAAGATTGCATCATGATTCTATCCAGAGAAAGTGCCTGAGGCTGGCAAATTCATAGAGACAGAAAGTAGATTAGTGTTTGCCGAAATTCTAAAGGGGCACTGGGGATTCTTTCCTGAGTGATAAAATTGTTCCAGAGTTAGAGAGTGGGATGGTTGTGCAACTCTGTGCATATACTGATAACCATAGACTGTACATTTTCAAGGGCAAAATTTATGACGGGTGAATTATAAATCAATCAGGTGGTTATAAAACATGAAAACTGTGGCCGATCTTTATTTCAGGTGACTCAGGCTGTAACCAAGCTGGGTATGTCCCAGATTCCTCAAAAGGAGCTTTTGGAAACCGTTCGAATAAGAGAACAAGTAACGACAACGAAAAGAACAAAGCAAGAGCTGCCTCCCCCTCCCCCACCCAAGAAGAGACAGATTCCTGTGGATATGGACATTAAGAAAAAGTGAGAAAGATAGAAAAAGTTTCATATCTGTACCTAAGACTGCATGTAACATACAGTATGCTGCTATGTCATATAATGTGTATTATATTTGGCACTTGGCTAATCATTAGACATATGCAAGTTAGACCCAACGGTTTTAAAAGGTCAATGACTGAACCACTTACTACTCCCTTAATTGCTGGCATATCTGCTTCACACCTGTTGAACATCTGAACCTCTCTGAACATCTGAGCATATGAACAGCTCTTGGATGATCCAATTTTCTCCTGGGTACAGTTTGGAAGATGCTAGGGCATACTGTTTTTTCTTCATATCCCATCCTTTACTTGGAAGGTTATGAGTGTCCAGTATTCCTCCTTTTTTCCTTCTTTCACTATTTCATCTCCAGTAATTCTTCTTTAGATAGATTCTTTGTGATTTTTCCTTCCTCTTCATGCCATTAAAAAAATTTAATTCAGGAAAGTAGTTCCTTTTGAGTCTCCCTTTCCCCCTCATTCACCATGTTTTCTTTCTTCCTTGGTTAGATTAACAGATCTTTTATATTTAGCTTCAAGATTCATCATGGGGATAAAGTGTCTTTTTCTTACTGATTAAAAAAAAAAGACCCTCAGAATTTTTAGAAGAAGAAAAATCACAGGGAGTGATAGCACAGTGGTAGGGCGTTTGCCTTGTGCGCAGCCAGCCCGGCCGAGCCGGGTTCGATTCCTCCGTCCCTCTTGGAGAGCTTGGCAAGCTACCGAGAGTATTCAGTATGCCATACACAGTAACAAGAAGTCTCACAATGGAGACGTTACTGGGCCCGCTCGAGCAAATCGATGACCAATGGGAGGGAAGTATATATCATTTACCTAATATCATGTACCACTTTAAGCTGCACTGAGTCTCAGGTGTTGTATCTCATTTGCATTGTATTAGTTGGACCTTAAGATAACCCTGGAGTTGAGACATCTTTTTCAAATGGATCACACTGCCTGGGTAAATGGGAATCTCTTTGGGTTGGGAATAAAAATGCTATGGTTTCCCCAACTGAGACTTTATTAGATACAACAGTCTTACCATTTTACCACTGGTTTTCGTTTGGATGATAAGAAGGCTTTGTTTCTGTCTCTTCAGGGCAGAACCAACCTACCTCCAAAATGCCAGTGTAGCATGTGGGGTAGAGGATTCTGATATTGATAGGACCCACTCCCCCACGCCCCCCATCATTCCTTTCCTAAGTGTTTACATTCAGCTGGGTATTTTTGGCATGCATCTCTCCATGCTGAGCCAGCATATTTGGAAGCAGGGAAGGTTGTAAGAGACTAGAGGGTGTAACTCTAGAAATCTTTATTTGAATCAAACTCTGTTGGAGAGGGCTCATTCTGCAGCTGGAAATAGAATACTGTCCCCAAAGTGACTTTAGCACTGAGGTCATTGATTCTGTCATGTTGCAGCAAGTCCAGAGGGAGGCCAATTTTTTTTTTTTTGCTTTTTTTGGGTCACACCCGGTGATGCTCAGGGGTTACTCCTGGCTCTGCACTCAGGAATTACTCCTGGCAGTGCTCAGGGGACAATATGGGATGCTGGGATTTGAACCCAGGTCGACCATGTGCAAAGCAAATGCCCTACTTGCTGTGCTATCACTTCAGCTCCAGGGAGGTCACTCTTAATGAGATGTGGGGCTCAGCACTCTGCTTCCATATGTCTCTGCTTTCCTCAGCACCTTGGCCTTCACCCCAAGCCTGGTCTACTCTGGTCCCAAGAGTGTGCTAGAGGACCAGAGTAGCTTCCTGGTCTGCTCTACTCTGCTTTGTAGGCAGGAAGGAACGACAGTTCTTGTCTCTCTCTCTCTCTCTCTCTCTCTCTTTCTCTCTCTCTCTCCCCCCCCTCTCTGAATCAACCAGGAAAAGTGACATTTTTTGCCAGAGGGAAAGGGACAGCAAGATCTCAGTCAATGACCCTGGTTTCACCGAGCTTGCCCATGCCTTGGTGTTTTGGTGGTTGGAACTTTCTAGTCATTTTTTTTTTGTTTGTTTGTTCTTTGTAGTTGTGTTCTATGAGATCTAGAGACTCAAGAAGAAGTAAGAAACAGGCAACCAGATTAAATACCTGTCTTTTGGTCCAATGTTGATTGATACAGTTAATTCCTAGATAAATAGGGACTTGACATGTTCTAATTCATTGTAATAGAAGATAATGACATTTCTTTAAACCAAAATTATTATTATTATTATTATTATTATTATTATTGGGCTGTGCTATCGCAGGTAGGGTGTTTGCCTTGCACATGGCCAACCTGGCCAACTTGAGTTTGGTTCCTCCAACTTCGATTCCTCTGCCCCTCTCTGAGAGCCCAGCAAGCTACCAAGAATATCTTGTCCACATGGCAAAGCCTGGCAAGCTACCCATGACGTATTTGATATGTCAAACACGGTAACAACAAGTCTCAGAATGTTACTAGGCCCACTTGAGCAAATTGATGAACAACCGGAGGACAGTGACAATGATGATGTTGATGATGACGATAATGATGATGATGATGATGATGATGATTATGATTACTATTATTTTGTGAGGGGTGGTATAGTTGGGCCAAACCTGGCAGTATGTGGGGTACTCGGAATCTCTGTGCTCAGGAATGACTGCTCAGGGACCCATGCGGTTCTGGGACTCAAATCTGGGCCTCCTACTTGCAATGCGTATGCTTAGTTTTTTCAGTGATCTGTCTGACCATGAAACTATTATTTTTGAAGGTGTTGCTCAGGAGCTATTCCTGGAGATTGAGTCTGGACCTCCCATTTATAAACTCACACTCACCCTACTGCGCTATCTCTTTAGTTCCCCCAAATTATTCTTATACCCAGTCATCATATGTCACTTCCAAGTAACCCATGTGTGCTAGCCTTACTTTCTGCATGATGTAGAATGGTGTCACTCCTTTTCAGTATAGAACCCATTTAGTATTTAGGTTTCTTATTCCCATTTCCATATTCCAGAATGTCCTAAATCCTAGTATGACATGCTTTCCAGACCCTTCTAGTCTGCTATGGAAACCTCTGGGAACTTTTGTTAAAAAAAGACTGTCTGAGCAGATGTGTGAGCCTCACAAAAGGCCTTAGCACAGTTGATAATTCACGCTTCTTTCTAACCGGGCAGTGCGTTGTCCCATCCTTTTCCTTGGAGGGAAGAAAGATACTCATTTTTCTATCTTCTGGGTATCTGGTGAGGGGCCTAGAGCTCATTGCTTCTTTGTGGCGTTTGAGTCCTTAGGGCTCTTTGCATGTGTTGCATTTAATCTCCTTGAAGGATTCAATAGTGCTAAGATAACAGAAGGGGGTTACTGCTTCAGTGACACCCAGAGCCCTGGTTATTTGTTTAGAATTTGAAAAAATCCCATACAAAACATAGGAAATTTATTGTAATGAAAACCCAAATATTCAGATCTCTATTGGAATGCTTTAAGTCAAGTCCCTCACCTCCCAGAGTTGGCACTAGCAATATGTGCTTACTGGAAAATACCAAAACATGCCCAAAATTGTTTGGAAAGCCCTGTGACAGAAGGTCACTCTCAAAGGACAGAGAACCTCTATTTGGAGCCCAAATTTACCTGTGAATAACATTGCAAGCCCAGGCATTTACTCAAGACCTCCTTGCACAATCCCAGGATATACCTCCTGGGTTTTGTGAAACTCCTCCCTTGATTTGGCATCAGTCAGTGACCATTCCTCCATTCGTCCCTTCTCACCAGGGTTTCGAGCAGCCTTCTCCACCTTTCTCCAGGCTATCTCATCTTTCACAGGTCACTATCCGTTCTCACTCTCACGACTGCCACAGCCCTGTCTCTCTCATCTTCTCTCTTTTCCCTCAGTGAACACTGAAGAATAAGTATAGTCACGTTACCCTGTGCTGAAATCCCTTCACCAACTCTCAGTTGCCCTTTTGTTAAATCCAAATGACTTAATCCATCCCTCAGGGCCTTCCGGTAACTGGTCCTGATGTGCTTTGTGAGCTGTCCCTTTCTGACTGGTACTCGCTATTCTTGTCACACCAAACTCTGTGCAGGGTATAAAGTGTGGTCTCTTCTTTCTATTGTTTTTCCTTTGTAAGAAGAACTCTTGGTCAAAAATACACCTTTTTTCCCAGATAGAGTATTCTTGGTGAAGCATTCATTTCAGTGAGTTTTTTTTTTCACTCTATCCCATGATCATTGTATAACTGAAACCCAAGCACAAAAATTTGTAAATCTACAACTGTACCTCATGGTGTTTCACTAATAAAAAAAAAAGATGCTGAGTGCTAAAGTGGCATAAAAAAATACACCTTTTTCACTCAAGCCATTTACTCTCCTTCCTCTTCAAATTGTGAACTCCTGGGAATTAGCATCTGATCCATTCTTTGTTGCTACATAGTGCTTTTCTTTCACCTAATTAAGACTGGGTGAGGCCTGAGACTGTATGTGTACACCTTCATATCACGGGCCCTTGTGGGTGCCTCACCTATAAGAGCATCAGTCACTACGTATTGAGTCAGAGAAGGTGTTACTTCGGGAATATCTGTACTTATTTTTTGTTATTCTCCAACCAAATCTGTTTTTCACCATCTCCATATATTTAAGAAAGTAATTTCTTCTTTGTTGTTTTTTGGCTTTAGTTTCTTGGGTCACACATGGTGGTGCTCAGGACTTACTCCTGGTTCTGTAATCAGGGATCACTCCTGGTGGGGTTTGAGAACCATACTGGGGGCTGGGATCAAACTCAGGTTGGCCCTCTGCAAGGCAAGTACCTCCCTCACCTGCTGTACTATTGCTCTGGCCCAAATGTGATTTCTTATAAAGCTGAAAAACCAAAACCGAAACCAAAATTTTCATACTTAATGATTGTCTTTAAGTATTTGCTGACATTGCAGTTTTTTTTCCTCTTTTACACCCCGTAAATGTAAATGTGTCATCTTATTTTGCATGGTTACTATTCTGAGGGGTTGTCAGGGTTTTATTTAGAAGGAGGATTTAGAAACTCATGTTCGTTGAATGTTTTTCTGGTTCTTTTTCTTGAGCTGTGGGAAACCAGAGAAGAAAATGAATGATAATAGTAACATGTGCATCTCAAATCAGGTTTGATGCTGTAAGTGCAGAGCTATTGGACTGGATTTTGAAGTCAAAGACTGCCATTCAGGCTGCAGAGATAAAAGAGTTTAAGAAGATGCAAGAGACTTCAGAAGTGAAAAAGAAATTGAAGGTAAAATATAGAACAAGAATACTCAAGTGAATAAAATATTTTACCAGGTTATATTTGCTGTTGGCAGAAGGATGTGATCTGATCCAAGAGTTTCATCTGAAGTAAATACAAGCCATAAGGTCGTCTTAGAAGATTATAGTAAATTCTGATATATTCCATCTGCCTGGGATCAGAGCCTGTGGGGAATGATTCTCCCCTCCTTTCTTAACCATTCAAATGTGCAGGGAGGAACACACACCAAGATAATTCACTTATTACTTCAATTTTATAACTTAATGGATCTTAATCCCATACCAAATAATTTATGAATTTATGATGAGGAGGTTTTACTTTCTTACAAGAAACCATTACAGATCTTAAGTTGTCTTCAATATAGTCTTTTTAGAGAAGAGATAACAGTTAAATCAAACAAACAAACAAACCCTGCAAAAACAGATGGGAGTTTTGTTCTGCTACTCTAGACTTCTGTGTGTTTTGGAAACCGTGGCATGAGACTGGAGTAATGTGTGTGGCTGATAGTCCTTGGGTCTCTCTACATTTATCCAAGAGCGATTGGCCATCCAGAGCAAGCTAGGCTGTTATCACCATTAACATTGGTGTTTATAAAGGGTTTTGAGAATATTCACAAGATGTGTATAGGTGTGACAATGAAACTTAGAAAGTAGAAGTAGCTAGAGGCACACACATATATATCACATATGTATATATCATGTGTGTATATCTATCTATCTATCTATCTATCTATCTATCTATCTATCTATCAACACATATATGAAATCAGGGCTGGAGTGATAGCACAGCGGGTAGGGTGTTCGCCTTACACGCGGCCAACATGGCCGACCCGAGTTTGATTCCTCCGCCCCTCTCGGAGAGCCCAGCAAGCTACCGAGAGTATTCGATATGCCAGACACAGTAACAACAAAGTCTCCAATGGAGACGTTACTGGGCCCGCCCGAGCAAATCGACGATCAACGGGAGGGCCTTTACCTTACCTTTACCTTATATAAAATCAAGTAGCTCTCATGTAACAATAGCTTTCTGTAGGGATCAATGTAGATGTTATAGTGCTCCAGCAAGCAAGGACCTTTCAAAGGCACTATTGCTAACAAATCATTCAATTTATAGCAACATGGATGGAACTAGAGGATCATTATGCTGAGTGCAGTCAGTTAAAAAGAAAGGGAAAGATGCAGAGTGATGTCTCTCCTGTGTGGGACTTAAAGATACACAACACAGCAGCAGCAAACAATGAAAGGCAGCATAGTGGGAGAACTGAACCATACAATAGGGCTGGGTGGGAGGCTTGGGGGCCCTGGGAGAGGGAGGTGGGTACACTGGTGATGCCTGTGGTGTTGGAATTAAGTGCATAAGAAAAATAAACCACAGAATTTCAATACATTTTTCTTTTTTTTTAAGACCATGGTCCTTTCTACCTCATCATTCCTCAGCTTGTGTCCTGAGTGTCTTCTGATTTCTGCTCTTTGCTTTGTCAGTCATCATAGGCTGTTGTCTGTGCTCAGAATGGCTCTTTGTTAAGCACCTGGGCTGTGTGGCCAAAATGCCTGCTTCTTGAATAAGCCCTCTTCACCTCATTAGGGAGAATTAAGTGATTCATCTCCAGACTCCCGTGTTGCTCCAGGCAGACCTCTGTGAAAGCCTTTATTGAACTAATGCCATTATTTGTTTACGTGCCTTCTGTGCATGCTTAGACGGTGGAGATAATTTTCCACTGGACCTTGTTTGAGCAGGACTCAGTACGGTTCTTGGATTTGGGAAGGAGAGCATGCTGATGAGGCAGGGGGTGATGTGATAACCTAGGAGCACTGTTCTCTACTCAGGAGTTCAGAGAGGCAGAGATCACAGCCGTGTTCCATCATTTCATAAGCTTCTTACAGTTCTGAAAGACTAATCCAAGATGCCAGTGTCATTTGACAGTCCGATTCTCAAAAACATTAGAGTGGCAGAGAGTTGGACAATTACACTGATCTTTAGGGAACAAGTCCTGCAAAATATCGATAAGTTAAATTCTCTGTTTTGTGATCTATGAGCAATTTTATTTCTGCAAATTTTTACTATAATCTTTGAATAAAAATGACAGTTGTGTGTATTTATATGCCATGGTTGTCAGTTCTTCTGCTTATCACTTATTTTATTTTATTGAATTTTATTCACTTATTTATAAAATAAGTGAATAAAATTCACTTATTTTATTTAAGACAAATCTAGCAATAGGTACCAAAGGAGTAGACAAATGTAGAAGAGAAATATGTAACCATTGCCATAATCTATAATTTTTTTTTACAAGTTAGGAAAAGTTCAGTTCATTTTGTTTTTGTGAAAGAATAGCTTATTTTTACCCACTCAATATCAGGGTAGTAAATTTCTAGTGTACCATGAGAAGTAACAAAAATAAATTTGTGTAAAGCAGGCTTTTTCTCCAGTTTGAGGATGACTTTTTGTATTGATAATCAGGTTAGCAGAAAGAGGAGATCTGTCTTAGACTCTCATTAATATTTCCTGTTCTCTGACTAGAAAAATGCTATTTTACTTAGTCTTATTAAGGTTTATATGAAGCAAAATAGGGTTCCTGAAATTTTTTAAAATTGGCTTCTATGGAAGTTAGAATGAAATTTTTCTTTGGGTTGTCTAGCTGAAATATATAGATTATTTAGAAGCTATGGTTGCCTTATTATGAGCCTTATTTAAGTAGTTATTTAATAGTTATTATTAGTTGGGAATTGAGGAATGGGAGACATTTCAAATACACACACACACACACACACACACACACTCTGTCATCTCAGATGGTTCCCCCAAGCACTGCCAGGAGAAACCCCTAAGTACAGAGGCAGGAGTTAATTAAAAATTAATCTAAAAATTATAGATTAAGGCACATATGCTGCCCGAACCCATGTGCTGCTTGCGCCCATGTGGCCGAGCACATGTGGTGCCTGAGCATATGTGTCGCCCGCATCTTCCGTCTTGAGATGTGTACTTTCATGCTTTCGTGTCTAATGCTGGGATGTGTGTAGGGGCTCTCTCCGCCTGTGGACAAGCCCAGGTTCTCTCTTGAGCATGTTGTTCTCTACTTTCTCTCACTTTCTCTGCCTTCTTCCCTTTAAAGCCTCCAAATAAAATCTGTTTTACTTCAAAAATAAATTATAGATTAAGGCAATGGTTACATATTTCTCTCCTACAGATTCCTGATACCACAAAGTTACATAAAAGCCAAAATGACAATAATAATAATTATAATAATAATAACAACAACAACATGGCAGCTCACAATTTTCTTTTTTCATATTAAATTATCATCATTTACACATTCAGTTTATTGGACTTAATTTATGGTGTAGCATATCTTGAGGCTATATAGGTAAATTGATATAGTCGGTCAAAAATAGTAATTTAAATTTTACTCTGTTGATATGAACTCATAATTATAGTGTGCCTATTTTGCTTAGAAAAGAAAGCAAACTCTTATATTGCATCGTTGAATTTACCTTTTAAAACATAAATCATCTCCAGAGATACAAGCAGTGGCATGGATTAGGTAAACTTTGACTTTACTCCCTCAAGTGGGGTACTCATTATATATTCAAACTTAAAACAATGTTAATACTGTATTGAGGAGAGGATTTTACAGTGTTCTGATATTGGAACTTTACTTCCAGGTCTTAGAAAAAGAACAATCAGAAAGAAGCCCCAGACTGGAAGAATTAAACCTCACCGGACAGACTCTTTTGGAGCAAATGAGAAAAGGTAAGACTTAATTATTTTTCTTATTTCTTTAGATGGTGATATTGAATAATATTTGTAGTTTGACAAATTAAAAATATTAGTTTTAATACTGTAGCACCTATGTTGCTGAAAAAAACAGTTAAAATTATATTTTTCGGCCGCAGAATCTTTTATCTTATGGTAAAACTGATTATATAAAACACATAAAAGCAAATTTGTTCTGACTTTATACACGGCCAGGGAACTTAAATAAAACAGTGATGCCTCAGCAGGACAGTTGAAATCCACTAGTGTACAGAAATTTTTTTCCAACAGAGGCTATTCTTATTGATATTGGTGTGCAGAAGCTACCAGAATCACTCCTTTTTCTTTTTTTTTTTTCCTTTTTGGGTCACACCAGGCGATGATCAGGGGTTACTCCTGGCTTTGCACTCAGGAATTACTCCTGGTGGTGCGCTGGGGACCATATGGGATGCTGGGAATTGAACCCAAGTCGGCTGTGTGCAAGGCAAATGCCCTACCACTGTACTATCGCTCCAGCCCATCAGAATCACTTTTTATGGTACCTGGGATATAGCATGCAAAACATCTGGTCTACCACTTTTTGATCTCCCTAGTGCTGGTGTAGAAGATTTTAAAATTCTTTCCTCTAGGGATTACATATTGAGAATTTTTTTCAAGGAAAGTAGTGGAAGAGTTTTTTTTTTTTGTGATAATGTTTGGTAAATGAAATTACATTAAGCTAAATTCATTAGGATAAAGTCCACTCAGGGGACTGGAGAGATGGCATAGTGGGTAAGTTGCTTGGCTTGCATGCGAATGACCTGCCTACAACCCCCAGAATCTTTTATGGTTCCCTAAGAGCAGTACCAGCAGTAATTCCTGAGTGCAAAGCCAGGAGCAACTCCTGAGCATTCCTGAGTGTGGTTAAAAACAAACAAACAAACAAACAAACAAACAAGCAAAAAGAATCCAGTGAGCTCAGAAGATAATAGACATGAGTATTTTTGCTGTTATTTTTGCTGTACAACTTTGCGTATACTTACTTATTTCATATAACTTTAATGACTTGTTGTAAACCTAATTCTTTATTCCTCTGATGGTAAATGCTTTTGACAAAAATCACAGACATCCAAGGGATAATTAGGAATAATCAGCAAGGGAGTAGTTTTCTGTGATTTGATATTTTTGTCTTCTTCTGGAAAATGTAAATATATACAGAGAAAATAGTGTAATCAACCTCCTTAAACCTTGTTATTATCTAGCTTCAATAATTATAACTATATTTTGCCATTCTTGAATGATGTATACATATATTTGCTCTTTACCTCATTGATTATTCTTATTTTTTTGCAGTGTTAAAACATTTTCTGAGCAGATATTTTTCTGGTTAATGTTCTTTTTTTTCTGCTTAACGTTTTATGTCTCATTGAGCGTGAAGGAATTTGAAAAATGAAATCTGTTTTATTTGATTTCACAGATGCTTTATCAGACCTAGTTCTCTTGCTTTAGTTTATCTTGTCTGAACAGATCAATAAATAATACTTGTATGTAGAGTCATCGTGAATTGAAGTGCATTTTGGTGTCCAGTTGACAATAGTTCGAAGTTTTATAAACATTTTCTTTGGTTCCAGTAATGGTAGATTGAAAAGTGTGAAGTCAAGGGAAAGATATAGGGAACATGTTCTTATTTTTTAAATCTTCTGGATGGTTAACAGAATGATTAATGATAGATTTGCGCTTTTGATGAGTGACCTAAGAATTGGGTATTGAACAAAAATGCAAAAATTGTATTGTCCCTCTGGGGGCATAAAAGCATCAGCATACCGCACAATTGTCCTTTTCTTTCTTTTCTTTTCTTTCTTTCTTTCTTTTTTTTTTTTTTGCTTTTTGGGTTATACCCTGCGATGCACAGGGGTTACTCTTGGCTCATGCACTCAGGAATTATTGAATTATTCCTGGCGGTGCTCAGGGGACTGTATGGGATGCTGGGAATCGAACCCAGGTCGACCACATGAAAAGCAAATGCCCTACCCGCTGTACTATTGCTCCAGCCCCACAATTGTCCTTTAAGCAATAAATTATGCTTTGTTTGCAAGTTTACATTGGTCCGCTTCACAGTTTGCAGTATTACAGTATTACAGACTGCATGGAGGGCCGGTTTAAGCTTTTTGAACAGGTTTTGAGGAGCAAAATGAGTGATTTGTGAAATAATGTCAGTGGGTGAAAAACCAATTGAAGGATTAGTTTCTGCTTCCCTGGTATCATGCAAGGACCTCTTATCTCCATTCTAGATTATTGTGGATCATTTCGCCTCTCCAAATTTTTATTTGCCCACTTAATTTTCTCATTTAACATTTCCCTGATACAAAAATGAAATCACTTTATTCTTTTGCGTACTTCAAATAGAAATGACTTTACACGTGCAGCCTTAGTCTTCATTGCTCTGATAATTTGTCGGGAAAATTGGCATTTGTTTTGTTTATGATCCCTATTAACAGGGATAATTGAACCTGGACTGTGGTGTGATTGTTTTGTCTGTTACTTTACTATCTGCATGGTGGTAAACTGTGAACCTCAGCAGCTGACCTGGGTGAAATATTCATATTATGCTATAGCATGCTTGCATTTTTAATTTGTAGAGGATGTGGTGTGTTATAGAGAGTTTTTAAATTGCTCCATCTGAGGATCATAAGTGAACTTTTGTTTTTATATAGAATTTATTTTCTTTGCATCCTTATTACCCGAATTTTGATTACATGTTTAGGAAGTCCAGTGGTATCATCGCTTTCTTACTCAATAAAGATGTTCGAGTTCAGCCTTTTGATACATATGCCATCCTTAGAAGATGGACACTCTTCTGCAGAATCCCCATGCTTGAAATTTTAAAGGATTCATAATTTTATTTATTAATTTTGATTTCATAGTCCTATACACATACTCCATATTTCTCTTAGCACTTGGCATTGGCATTCTTGACAGTTCTTTTGCAATTTACATGACACTGGGTTCCTGTCACCTGTTCAAGCTGCCTTCTGCAGTTTCTACATAGTAATTCTTCCCTCTCCTTAAGACAGAGAGAGTCACTTCTGATGTAACAACCTAGAGGAATCCAGACATTTTGTTTCTCAGGTTCTGACTCACTAGAATATGGGATGCCAAGGACGGAAAGATGCATTCAGCAGAAATAGCTGAGACTGACTGTATTGAGTGCCTTTGTCTTGCAATCGGGCTATTGACAGTTTGGGAATTAAAAAGTTATTTAATTTATTTTGTCGGAGGTGGAGGAGAGGGATTTCCAAGGGTGCTCAGGACTTACTCCTGGGTCTGTGTTCAGGGATAACTCTTTGGTGATGCTCACAGGATCACATGCAGTCTAGGCATTTGAACCCGGGTCCTCCATGTGCAAGGTAAGCACATGGATGACCCGGATTTTATCTACTCTTCTATCTTTCCAGGTTTTAAAAATTATTTATTTAATTTTATTAAAGTAAGGTAGTTATTATTATTATTATTAATTGTGGCATTCTTAGAAAGAAGTATATGTTCAAGAGAGTGTATGGGCTTCTCCAGAGTGGAAAAAAGGCAGAGACAGTGAGACAAGCAAGTGAGATAGTGTTCAAGGGAGAACACAGGCTTAAAGAGAAAGCCAGCAGTTATTTTTTTTAAAGGTCTCATTATATTGTGTTGTGGAATTGAAAGGGACTCAGGTGGTAGTGAGATTGCCTCAGATTATTTCAAATGCATAGAATCTGAAAGAGCGAAGCCAAACCAAGTGTCCTAGTAATGTGTGAAGTAATGAAGTATCTTTTTGTTTGTTTGTTTTTGTTTTGTTTTGTTTTGTTTTTAAATGCCTGTGTAGAAGATCTTCCTACTGAAGAAATAACAGATATTCTGGAGAAGGTCTTGTCAGAATGGAAGAGTGTATCTCGGCGTTTGGAAGATATGGCAAGAGAGATCCAGCTACAGGAAGATATAAACACTTACTTTAAGCAACTTGATGAGCTTGACAAAATCGTGAGGTCAAAGGAGGAGTGGGTCAAACAAGCTCCTTTTGCAAAATCCTCCCAGAAGTCCTTGCCAGGGGTGAAGGATGCCTGTCAGGTAAACCATTCGGATGCTCTAAAAATTTTCTGTCTGGTTCTGCTTTGAAAGTAGCTTGGCAGGGGCTGGAATGATAGCACAGCGGGTAGGGCATTTACCTTGCACACGGGTGACCTGGGGTTCAATTCCCAGCATCCCATATGGTTCCCTGAGTACCTCCAGAAATAATTCCTGAGTTCAGAGCCAGGAGTAACCCCCGTGCATTGCTGGGTGTGACAGAAAAAGCAAAAAACCAACAAATAAATAAATAAAGGTTGCATGGCAGCGTGTACCTTGACCTGGTGGTTAATTCTCTGATGAGCCCCTTCAGGGAATGTCTGTGACCATGCTTTTCTTTTTTCCTCCATAGCGAGAATTGACACATCTCCTTGACCTTCACCCCCAAATTGAGCTGGTGCGTGCAAACTGCTCTGCCCTGAAGTCTCAGGCCTCTGCTCCTGATTTTGTTCAGCAGGCTTTCGAGAGCTCGCTGGCCCGCTACCAAGCTGTGCTGCACGATTTAGAGGCTCAGCAGGAACAATTCGAGAATGGTACACACGTTCATTTGGTTTTTTTCTTATGTGATGTTAATATCTGCTCTTTGCCATAATTTAAATACCACTCAGGATAGATAGTTAGACCTAGTATGCTTAACCAATTTTGCAAGTGACAGTTTTGCAGGTGACACTGTGTTTCAAGGTTGCAAAAGAATTAACGTCTATTCACACTATTTTCTAGATTCCCACTCCTTTGTAAAGTTGCAGACAGCTTTCACATGCTGTAAAATCATGTCTGTAATGATGTCTTTGACTTTTTTTTTAAATTGAAGGATTACGGGGGAGATTCGAACCGTACCCCACTGGGCTTAGGGCTTATTTCTGTCTCTGCATGCAGGGATCACTCTTGGTGGTGCTTGGGAAAACATAGGAAGTGCCAGGATTAAAGCTGAGTGCCTCAACTCTTCTGTCCTGGAAGATAACGATTTTTAAGACATTTTTTAGGGTTCTGTTTCTCCATATATTAGAAAAGGTCAGCTAATAACAATCCTAGCAGGTCTAAAAGGAAGGCTCATTGAATTGTTTTTTTCCAGAATGGTTTTATTTATTTTTATTTATTTTTTTTATTAGTGAGACACCATGAGGTACAGTTATAGACTTACAAATTTTTGTGCTTTGGTTTCAGTTATACAATGATCAAGTACCCATCCCTCCACTAGCGCCCATCCTCTACCACCACAGGTCCCAGCATCCCTCCCACCCCCCATCCCCCCATCCCACCCTGCCTCTGTTGCAGGGCATTCCCTATTGTTCTCTCTCTCTCTCCTTTTGGGTCCTATGGTTTGCAAGAGAGGCATTGAGTGGCAGTCATGTTTGGTCTATAGTCTACTTTCAGCATGCTTCTCCCATCCTGGGAGGATCCTCCCAACACCCTTTATTTGGTGCTCCCTTCTCTATCTGGCCTTCCCTTTCCCCCAGCACCTGTGGCTGGCCTCCAAGTCATGGAGCAAAATTCCTGCTAATCTCAGCCACCCCTGGGTGTTACTCTCCCATTTTGTTGATGCAAAAAGATGAATGCAATCTTTCTGTGTCTACTAAATTTTATTATTTAAATTAAGTATTATCATCACCTTAAAAAAAAACTCATGGGGCTGGAGCAATAGCACAGCGGGTAGGGCATTTGCCTTGCACGCGGCCAACCCGGGTTCGATTCCCAGCATCCCATATGGTCCCCTGAGCACCGCCAGGGGAAATTCCTGAGTGCAGAGCCAGGAATAACCCCTGTGCATCACCAGGTGTGACCCCCCCAAAAAACTCATAATCTTCTTTGAACGTTTGAAAAATATTTCTTGATGTTTTTCCTTTAGAAGTGAACCTGATTATAAAAAATTAACTGCCAAAGATTTTGAGAGTTTATCTCTCATATATTCTGTTCTTTTTCCTCCTTAGTCATTGCTTACATTAGAATTTGTGTTGTATAATGTAATGTGGGTGTGCATGCTGACAAACTCCATTTACCCAACCCCTTGTGAGCTGCCATTATAGATTGTGCAGTGACTTGTTGGAATTGGAGTGTGTGCCTGGAAAGCAAAGGTGTCAGCATTTCTTTCCTTAGAAAAGTCATTTGGGCATCAGGCTCTGCACAAAATCCATCTACTATGCAAACGATCCGGGTACCACCTTTTCAATGTGTGGTTACAAAGATACTTTCAATTTTGACCAACAATCAATGTGCAGTTGACACATATAGGTTTTTAAATTAAAACAAAATTAGGTTGCTGTTTTGTTTTTTTTTATTGTGGTAAAGCACACAAAACAATAAATTGGTCAGTTTTAAGTCATTTTAAATAGAAAATTTAACGGTTGTATGGTCAATCTCCAGAACTTTATCTTCTGAAACTGGAAGTCCATGCCCAGTTAAACAGCAACACTTCCCATTTCCTGCTGTCTCCAGCATCTGCAGCCACCATACAGCTTTCTCTGAACTTGATTCAGTACCTCATTGAAGTGGAATTATAGAGTCTATATTGTTATTTTTACTCACTGAGTAAACTTCACTGAGCATAGCATCTTTAAAGTTCATGCACATGCTTGCGTATGTCAGAATTTCCTTCCTTGTTTAATGCTGAAAACAATCCATGGAGCGCATATACTACATTCTGTTTATCTGTTCGCTCACAGTCGAGCATTTGGACTATTTCCATCTTTCAGCTGTTTTGAAGAATGCAGTTAATTTCTTAATTTTTGCTGCTAATTGGTTTCACCTCTCTCTGGTTCCGTCAGTTGAGCTGTTCCATCACGCTGCTGCTTGTGTGCAAGTGTTGTTTATTTGCTTGTTAATTCCTGAATGATTTTGCTTACGTTTTGTGGTGCTGGGTATAGAGGGTCGGATCCAGGATCTCCAGGATGCAATCTAGGCAGGCACTCTACCACTGAGCCACATGCTCAGCCTGTGTCTGTGATTTCTGCATTCCTGAATGAAGTCGATGTGGTCCCTCTTTGCATTTTTATTTCTCTGCATACCTGCAGTAGCCTGACTGGGGTGTTCCTGTACCATGGCCGCTAATCTGTGATGGCAATTCATCTACAAGTTTGTGCTTATAGGAAGGCTGCTGAAAGGGATCTCTTTTTTTCTGTATTCTTTGTGTAGTTATTGGGAGAATAGAGATTATGTGAGACAAAAGGAACTTTGTGGTACCATCTTTAGAGAGACACTTAATCACAGTGAAATGAAGGAATTCGATGGTGGGTTGATTAATATTTGACATATCAACATCTGCTGATAGAAAGTCGCCATTTGCCTCAGAATTGCGTATGCAACAACTTAGGAGCCAGCAAAGACCCTTTTAACACTTAATGACGGAGTTTAAAATCCCCCAGATGATTAATGTCGTGTTAGGTTCCTAAGATGATTTTTCTCAAAGTAAGTGTTTTTTGATAAACAGAAAAGGAGGGCCGGCCCAGGCACACCTACATGGAAACACTGAAAAAACTGAAAGAGGTGCTGAAAGACTCAGAAAAGCAGGCCCAGGCATCTTTGAGTATCTTGAATGATCCTACAAAGGCAGAGAAGGCCCTGCAAGAAACCAAGGTAATGTCCATGTGGGTCTTAGAATTGAGAGTCATATTGGCTGTTTCACAGACTTTGAAGTATGTTGCAGCAGTATTACTCATTTGTGTCAAAATGAGTCAGAATTCCTTACAATATGAAGGGTAGTTATTTAATCCAAGATCCCTGGCTAAATGAAAATCTCTTAAATACTTTGAAATGGCATAAAATGCCATTTTACCCATCTCTTGTAATTAGCATAAAATTCTCAACTTTATATATTTTCCCCCAAAATAGCACAATAAAATTAAGAAAATTTGTTGAATTAATGTGCCCTTCATTTTGTACATTGAAGGAAAATTCTTCTCTGGTCTTAGGATATGTATTGTTCCTCATCAGTTCATCAAATAAAAGAGATCAATCATTGGGCACTTCACACTTGACCTTTCCTGTGTACATTCTTCAGTGGTTTTTTTTTTACAGTTGAAAGCATATTACATCTGTTCCACAAATAACATATAAAGAGAAACCTTTAACTTTTTTTTCTTTTTTTTTTTTTATTTGAGGAGGGCCATGCCTGGTGGTGCTCAGGGCTTACTCCTGCCTCTATACTCAGGAATGAATCCTGGTGGGCTTAGAAGGCCATAAATTGTTCTGGGAAAGAATCCTGGGTCTTCTGTGTGAAATCAAGCACCCTACTTGCTGTGTAGTTCCAGAAACCTTTAACTTTTTTGATTATGCTGTGTTTTCAAGGTTTTTGTAGTTTTTCTTAGAATAAAATAGTTTCATTATTTTTTAATTCAAGTATTATTGCACTATGGCATTATAAAAGTTTCTGGTGTATGTTATTATAAATCAAGTATGTATAAGCTATGTTAGGTTAAAAAGGTTCAACTCTGTTATATGATTTTAAAAGTGACTTGACAGTTTATACCGAAAATTCATTGTGCATGATTTAATTTTATTTATTATTTTTATTGGGCTGGAGTGATAGCACAGTGGTAGGGCATTTGCCTTACACACAGCCAACATAGCCGACCCGAGTTCGATTCCTCCGCCCCTCTCGGAGAGCCCAGCAAGCTACCGAGAGGATTTCACCTGCACGGCAAAGCCTGGCAAGCTACCTGTGACATATTCAATATGCCAAACACAGTAACAACAAATCTCACAATGGAGATGTTACTGGGCCTGCTCAAGCAAATCAATGAACAACGGGAGGACAGTGCTCAGTGCTCTATTATTTTTATTATTTTTGCTTTTTCGGTCACATCTGGCAATGCTCAGGGTTACTCCTGGGTTTAGCACTCAGGAATTACTCCTGGTGGTGCTCAGGGGACCATATGGGATGCTGAGGGTTGAACCTGAGTGCGATAATGTGTAAGGTAAATTCCCAACTCCTTATAGTATTGCTCTGGTTTCTGTGCATGATTTTATTTTTTATTTTTAAAATTAATTCTTATTTATTTTTATTCAATCTCTATGAGATAAATGGTTACAAAGTTACTCATGACACCAGTGTACATTTCTTCCACCAATGTCTCCAGTTTCCCTCCTGTCTTACCACCCCCATTCCCCCCATTCCCAGCATGCCTCTCTGTGCATGATTTTAATATTTAATTTTTTTCAGGCCCTTGATGAAATCCTTGAGAGCCAAAAACCTATGCTACATAAACTTGCAGAGGAAATGAAGACTTTGGAGAAAAATGTTTCTCCAGATATAGAAAGAATAAAGCAAGAATGTGATGATGTCCAAGGAAAGTGGAACAAATTAAAGATGAAGGTTTCCAAAGATTTGCTTTTGCTTGAAGAAATTATTCCAAAACTCAAGACTTTTGAGGTAAGTCCAGAGGACATTAGGAGTTTAACTGTGTTTCAGGTTAAGCAATAAGTATCATGTAAGACTCAAGTATCTATTATTTGAGTATTTTGCATTCTTTCTCCTTCCACATTTTAATGCACTTAGTTGGGGCCTCTCACTTGCTTACCAAAGATATACTTTTCAATGGGAAACACATTTATTGCCTTTTTCATTCATAAAGGCTTCCTTTTAGATGTATGTTGAATCTTCAGGATGAGATAACAGTGCTTAAATGTCCAATGTACTACTGGAGTGAGGAGACTTCTTGAAATACAGCCTGGGACCACGTAGCAGATGAGTTGCTCAGAGGGGAGAAATTGCCCAGGAAGTAGCACATAGCTCAGCTAAGTTTTTGCTGCTTCTTTCTAAGGTTTTTTTTTTTTTTTAGATATTGGGAGTTAAATTCTGGAACTTAGACCATTGACAAACATTTTCTGATTAGGGAAGTAAGTGATTCAAGGAACACAAAAGTTCAGAAACAGAGTCCTCTACTAATCTGAAAATGTCAACAGATAAAGCAGTGATAAAAGTTCTCGAAGAAAGGATAAATATGAGGTCTTAAACAGGGAGCAGTGAAAAATCAATGACAAATGAGATAGTTCCAGCTTTAAACACTTAGCCTTTGAGAAAGTTGGTGAAGTGGATATTCCAAATCATCTGCTTTTTCTAAACAAAAATTGTGGATGGAGATTTTGGATGAACCCTGCTCTCCTCATTGCACTCCATCTTCCCCATGCCTTCTTAAGTTTTTTTTTTTTTAATCCTTCACAGTTACAGAGTTGTTCATGATTGGTTTTCAGTCATACACATATAGTGGTCCAACATCCATTCCTTCACCAGTGTACATTTTCTATTACCAGTAGAAATATTCAGTGTTGTATTTTCTTTCTCACTCATCCCTGCTGCCTGCCTCTACGGCAGGCACTTTTCCTCTCTCTGTCTCTGTCTCTGTCTCTGTCTCTATCTCTGTCTCTGTCTCTCTGTCTCTCTCTCTGTCTCAAACTCAGTCTCTCTCTCTCTCTCTCTCTCTCTCTCTCTCGGCATAGCAATTTGCAATACAGGTATGGAAAGGTTATCATGTGTATTCCTTTACCTCCTTTCAAGACTCAGTTCTTGTTCAGAGCAGTCGTTTCCAACTATTATTGTCATAGTGGTCCCTTCTCTATCTTAACTGCCCTTTGCCCTACACACCCTTGTGGTAAGCTTCCAACCATGGACCAGTCCTCCTGGCCCCTGTTTCTTTTGTCCTTGGATAATAGTTTCATACTATGTTTTAATTTTTTATATCCCACAAATGAGTGCAATCATTCCATGTCTGTGTTTGTTTTTCCACTGATATATGCCAAGATATATTTCTGGAACAGTGTCTGGTTTAGGAAAGGCATCCACCAATAGATTTTGATGAATGAAAATGAGATTAATAATAGGATTTAGATGTGGAGATTTTATATTTAGTTTTATATCATCTCTGTATCTTCAATATCTCTCTCTAATGTCAGGCTTTTTATGTATAAAATGGATTTGAATTTAGACCTCAAGAGCATTTGTGTAAAGGATCTTGCTAAAAACATGTCCAATTAAAAATGAAGATTATCATGTGTAAAAATGGCCCTTAGGATCAAAGCTAAAAGAATGTGCAGAAGAAAAGGATCTGGTAGACTTTAGACACTTTTGTCAAGGGTTCCAACTAAGTGAGGCCATAATAGTGAACTTGAAAGGAAGCTCTAGGCATCAGCAGAGTTTCATTGAATTACCAGCAGGAAGCTAAAGACAGAGGGCGTGTTAGCAGTAGTAGGATGAGGTAATTTCGGCTTGTGTTATTGGTAGTGCCAGAGAGATCTCATTGGAGTAGGACATTCACTTTGTAGTTTAGGATTTCTGATCCCTTTAACTTAGTGAATGGATCTACTTCCTCTAGTCTGTTTTCAGTGGTAATTCTTTCCAACTTTTAAAAGTAGAATTACCCATATATTAAAGTCTTAAAATTTTTTAAAAAATTATGATCCCGAGGGCTGGAGTGATAGCACAGCAGGTAGGGCATTTGTGTTGCACATGGCTGACCTGAGTTCGATTCCCAGCATTCCATATGGTCCCCTGAGAACCCCCAGGAATAATTCCTGTGTGCAGAGTAAGGAGTAACCCTTGAGCATTGCTGGGTGTGACCGAAAAAGAAAAAAAAATTATGATCCCAGTATTGGATCATGATTTGTTTTCTCCTGGGATGATTTTGACACCCACCTCCTACTCCATAATTTTGGATACCTTTTGGTTTTCAAAAGGTCCTGGGGCTGAGATCTCCAAGCCTGCTCTGATCCTCTACCCAGATCCCCCATCTTCCAGTAGGTAGGCATCACACCCACCAATTGCCCCTGGCGCCAGGTAATCCCATCTATGGCCAAGACCCAGAGACTATAAAACCCAGCTCCCAGAAGCGTGTGGCTGCAAATGCAGCCGCGTGACATCTTATTATCTAGTTCTTACTCTGGAGAACCCCGCAGGCTACCAAAAGTATCCTGCCCGCACAGCAGAGTCTGGCAAACTCCCCGTGGCATACTCAGTATGCCAAAAACCAGAAACAGTGATGGGTCTCATTCTCCTGACCTTGAAAGAGCCTTGAATATGGCACTTTCTAAAATCTCAGGGCTAGGACGAAGGTGATGTTACTGGTGCCTTCTCGAGAAAATTGATGAACAACAGGATGACTGTGGTACTGTGATTTGATTTTCACAGTTGTGGTAGATGGGAGGTTATTGTATCCCAGCTGCAACCAGCTATCTGGTGCATGGGCCAGCCCCTGCCATGGAAGTTACCTGACCCCAGCAGTGCCAAGACCCAGTCGAGCTGCCTCTGATATTTTCTGTCTTTTCAAAGGAGCATGACTTTTGTTTCACATCGACATCTTAGGTGAAGTTAGTGAAATGTACAGGATTAAACCTCCAGGTTATTCTCCTTTTCATTGTTAAAATTGTATTTTAGGGTTAGCTACACAAGTGCCAGTATTTTCAGATAGAATTTAGAAAGAATAAATATTCTTCCCAAGCATGGAAAGAGATGCCTGTGGTTACAGTAATCCAGATTTAGACTTTAGTTGGTGGTTGTTATTAATTCAGTGAAACCAGGTAGCAGAAGTGGCTTGGTGGAGTGCATGCCAAATTCATTTCAGTGAAATATCCCACTTAAAAGGACTGGGGAGATAACTCAGTGCATGGCAGTTTCCAGCTCAGGTGCCACATGGTCCCCGAGGTGCCAACCATCACCCTTGGAGGGCCAAGTAGCTTTGTATCCTTGAGCATCAAACCGCTTTGCCAGATCAGCCATATCCCTGGAATTAACCCCACATCCCCCTGAGCACTGCTGAAGAGGACCTCTTCTGAAAGAAAATCCCAATTGAAGATGTTTGTCTGAATATTTAGTTTGTTGTTATTATTGTTAATAAAGTGCAGATTTGTAATTTCCAGTGACTTTCATTCTCTTTTCACTGCTAATGACAGAACTATTGACATTGCCTGTATTTTCTAATTGCAGACTTTGCTGCAATGTATATTTAATTCTAAAGAGTTATCATTACTTCTGTTTTTGCTTTCAAGGAATTACTTGACAATTAGTAAGTGACATTCACTGAGGAAAAATTTTCATCTCCCCAAGATAAAAATTATAATAAATACTCATTTTTGATTAGAACTTTCCCCCATTTCTCAGGGACACAGTACACAGGATTTTAGGCATTGAAATTCAGTTTGTATTTTTTTTGGCTTGTTTTTGGGCCACACCCAATAGTGCTCAGGGGTTACTCCTGACTTCCCACTTAGGAATCACTTCTAGCAGGCTCAGGGTCCAAATGGAATGCTGGGAATCAAACTCCAGTAGATCATATGCAAAGCAAATCCCTTACTCACAGTACTATCCCTCCAGCCCTTCAGTTTGTCTTTAAAGCACCAGAACCAGTAGATTTCTGAAGTCAAGAGCAAAATTGGAAAATGTAGAGGGATGGGTGTTGGAATACCGTATGATTGAAATCCAATCATGAACAGCTTTGTAAGGGTCTATCTAACAGTGATTCAATAAAAAAGTTTAAGAAGAAACACATAAAGGTATCACCATTACTCAACGTGTACAAAAAAGAAAAGAACAAAATCTATGATGCTCTGAGAAACACAGCGGTAGATTTGCTTATTCATTTGTTAATTTTTTTGTTCTTTTTTTTTGGCGAGGGGTGGTGGTCACACACAGAGTGCTCAAGGCTGCTGCTATCTTTGTGCCTAGAGACCACTCCCATCAGTGCGCAGGGGGGGTGACATATTAAAATGCCGTTCAGTTATATAAATAACATGTAAAGACTGCACATTGTGACTAAATTGGATAATAGAGAAGTATTGAGAGAGAATACTGACACTTCTCTTTCATCTCTAATACCATTTCCTTTCCTGGAGACAGTTGATATTAACAGTGATCCTTGCTGCAGGAAAACATACTTGATGTTCAGAAGGAAAATCTTATGAATACTATTAATTCTAATAAATGTTCTTCTAGGAGTGAGAAAGATCCTGGAACTTTATGAGGAATATTTAAATAGATCGTAGACAAATACATGGATTTGGAGTTTGAGTCTCACTCCACACAACAGGACACAGCCCATTTATTTATTTATTTATTTATTTATGCCATTTTTAGGTCACACCCAGCAATGCACAGGTGTGACTCCTGGCTCTGCACTCAGGAATTACTCCTGGCAGTGATCAGGGGATGGAATGCTGGGGATCGAACCCAGGTTGGCTGCATGCAAGGAAAACGCCCTACCCGCCATACTATAGCTCCAGCCCTGGACATAGCCCATTTAAACTAGGAAAATATTTTCATGGTTATGAGTTTACTTTTTTGGGTGTGTGGGGTGTTATCCCCACCTAACTTTGTGCAGGGATCAGCCTTGATTCCTGGAGGTTCTTGGGGGACCTTATAAGGTGCCAGGGATTGAACTTGGA